TCATAATATAACGTGAGAACATATTTTGAATTTAAAAAATCTTCTCATAAAATTCAATGAATAAATTATAAAATTGAATAATGCAGTAAAGCAATTGATTTTTTTCTCACGTTTCCCTATTGTTTACATTGAAACAATGAAATACCATCCGAAAATGTAACGCGAAGCTTTGGTATAATATACAACGCGTTGTGTACCGTTCTCGATTTTTGACATGGTATGCGCCGTGACGCAGAAAATTTCAAATAATCTTCTATTAAATCTCGGCCGAAGAATCTCGTACAGTGTTATTAAGAAATAGGATAGGAGGATATCGAGAAATCAAATGAAAAAATTTCGGTTCAAGCTCTTAATAAAAGGTACACACATGTATAGTTGAAGAGATTTTGTTGTTGAAGAGGTATTGATTTTATACGATAATTTTACAAATGAAAATAATTTTTAAACGATTTTGCAGGATTGGTACCACAAATTTGAAAAAAGCTTGTCAAATTTCGATTATAAATCGACAATCCCTGTATTGATGTTCGACTTTCGCTGTAAACAAAAAAATCTGACTGAACATTAAATTTTGCTCTATAAAGTAAAATTATTATTTTTCTTAATTATTAATTATTTCTTGAATTGTAAAAGCAATTGAAGATGAAATTTATCATTTTAAACTCAGAGTAAACTTCCTATTTTGGAAAGAACAGAAAACCAGCGGCTCAATGATCATTTTCGAAATAAATGTATTTTACAGAACCTACAGAATCTACAAATACGAAAAATCGATATCTTTAAATGCGCGCACACGCTGACTGAAAATGACTCATGCATTGACATTTAATGAAACTATTCATACAATAAAAAATATAAAAAATGTAAAAAAAAATTGTTATATTTTTGTATTTCATTAATTGGTTGGAGAACGCTTTTTCAGTGATAATGATATCGCGCTGATGAAATTCTCTCAAATTGGTACGAATAGTGAAAATAAATAGGAAATAATGCCAGCAATAGCTTATTTCATGATAAACATGAAAAAAATGATCTTAAAATTAAAAATTACCTCCATATGCCTCAGGAATCAAACAAAAAGGAATGAGATATACAAATAATGGAAATTAAAAAATTAAAAATTCCGACGCTGTTTTAATCTGTTGAATCCTGCATTACTTTAATGCTTTTACAATTTCTTTCATCTTGCAATAAGTTGGTCGTTAAAAAATTTATCAAACAAAAAAGGCGATCTGTTTTAAATGTAATTTTTGTACAAACGGAAAAAAGAATACAATGAAAAAGAACAAATGTGTATATTCAGCGTAATTAATTGTGTGATAAGCAGTTGAATTAATTGTGTGATAAGCAATTGTTATTTAGAGTGCTTGCGGGAAAATAGTCTGCTTACCGCTACCATACCTCCTCGAATTTAAAAGAGAAATCAGTTTACGGAAAAAAAAACCAATATCTCTCAAACCGGGAAATATTTGAAATCAATTCCTTATCGAACTCGTCAAAATTTCCAAGCATATTCCGAGGAGAAGGCAACAAAAAAAGCTGCCGCAACGATGCCAAAATAAATAAGCAGTTTATGAGCATATCCGCTTATTCATTCTGCTGTGACCTCAAGTGTCCGATATTATGTACATTAATCAGATTGGCATGTTTACCTAGCTCCATTTTCATAGTTTAAAAATTTCGGTGAAAATTGTGAATAAAAACAAAAACGACAGTTTGAATGGTCATTTTCATCTAGGTTTAGTTGATAAAATATTTTTCATAACATAAATCTTTCTTTTTTCCATAGCAACAATGGAAACAATTCATCATATTCAGACGAATTATTGGAAATAAACATAACAGTGAAACATCAATTTCGAATAAAATATTCTCTACCAATTTTTAAAATTATATAATCAGCTGTTGAAGTATATTTATGAAACGACACAAAAAAATAGATTTTGACAAATTACGGGCTTCTAAGCAATTGTAAAAACAAAATTTCAAAGAAGGCTTACATATATATTTGCAAAAATAATCTTCTTTTTTCAATTCGCATGGATTACTGGAAATATAAAAAAATGACCATAACTATTTCAATGTTTTTCGAAAAATGAAAATACGCGTGATTTCGAAAACACTATTCTTGTTAGAGTATACTGAAGCTCGAAAATTCTTGTACACCGAGGCGCATTGACCCTAGCGTTTAATACGATCGACAATCAAACAAAAAGTTTGATTGTCAGTTTACTTATTTCGAAGCGACCAATCTTTGAAAATTTAAACGTTTGGTTTCATTTTCGCATTTACAAAATAAACACAGTTTCATATTATAAATTTCTTTTTTAAATTAAAGAAATAGAGAAAATGGTCGGAAATATACGATTTTTTAAGCAGAATGATATCCGAGAGCTTAGTCTAAGTAAGTGTTTTATCATTAGTGGTTATTACCAGGCTCTAGCGAGTTTACTAGATGTGTTAATCAATTCAATTTACAATTCAGGCAAATCCGAGAAATGAGAATACATTTACTAGAAACTTTAACATTCAATGTCACGTAAATAGTTTTTATCATTCATTCACGTAAGTGATTTTATGGACATTAAACGGAAAAAACGTCAACATGCCAGGACACGCAATGTGATAGTTTTTTTTTAATTTTGTAATGATGATATAATTATTTACAAAGCAGTGCTGGTTAACATACCAGCAACCCCGCAAAACGATTGAATCATTGCTTTGGAATTTTCCTATCATTTTAACATTTTTAAAACAATGTTTCTTATATAGAATAAACTAAATTTGAATAAAAGTGGATATAATTTTTTTTATATATTTTCACAGTTTTCTTATATTTTATTCAATCCCACTAATTTTCAGAAGATTTGAATTTATTTTATCCTTTTCTCAAATTCCGATATTTCAACCAGTTCCTTTGCAACTATTACGATTTTCATATTTTCTTTTCAATATAATGCACGTTTTCTATCTAACAATACATTTCTAAATCTAATTTGAATATTCTCTGTAAAAATTTGCCTATTCAAACAATAGGATTCTTGTGCAAAAAAATTTACATCACATACGTTTCTCCACATCCAAGAAAAGACACCAAATTGTCGCATATTTGAATTATAAATGTATTTCAATCCTTAAAAATCATATACTGTGGGTTTAATTCGATGCAATTTCTAATCACCAAAATATCAGCGTATGCAAAGCTATAAATTATTATTATTCGCTCGCATCTTCATGGAAATTCGATCGATGATTACACAAGAATAACCTTCATGCAGCAACGTTTTTCCAATCAGTTATGCCAAAAATTGACAAAAATTTTCGTGCAATACTCCTGGACGAGTACCAGATTGTGCAATACTAGTGAGCTCATAACTGGTTAACCGCAATTTGTATTATTCACTTAAAATCTTGAGAAATTATATTCCGAGAAAACGTCTGTTCCTGCATAGTTGTAGTTATCGTAAACTTATTTTTTGTATCCGCTGATTCGGTTAAGATGTGTAATAAACAAGATGGATCAGACTGCTGCTTTGCAATTGTCTTTATTTTAGGGTGACAAAGGGCATGTGTTTACCATCTGTTGTCTCCGCAACTTTTTGTTGTTTTCATCACAAGCTATGATTTCGTCCAACTTTTTTTTCCCAATAAAATATTAGAAACATGTAACCAATATTACGAAATTAATATAAAAAATCAGTATTTGATAATTAATAATAGATAAATAAAATGCGAATAATCGTATAACAATTAGATAATCAATAGAGTAACAATAAAACAATGAACACAATGAAATAGATAAAAAAAAGGAAATGAAGTTGAGAATATTAATAACTAATGAGGAATCCGATAATATTCTAGTAGGGAGCACTCAGTAAATAATACACCATCAACATTAGATTGAAAAATGCAGATTATGAATAAGATACAATTGATAGCAATTTAATAGAAATTAAATTTCATTTAACAGTAATAAAACCAATTGAATGACAAACAAGTAAACCAAAAGAAGAGAGTCAGATGATGGAGAAAAAAAATGGAGAATCAATTATAGGAGAATCATTAAATCCAGTAATTAGAAACCAATAAAATGAAAACCGTTTTACAAACGTTCAAGAATTAAAGGTTTATCGTACTATTCAGATTTAGAAAACAAAACAACAAACTGAAAGTAGTTTAAAATTTTTAGGGGTTCCAAATCTACATAGTACCATTATTATTTAAGGAGTAATGCAGAAAAAATAAAAAAAAAGTGAATTTGTTGGTGCAGCGAAAGAGGAAAACAAAATATTTCCTGTATTTTAACTTGCTCATATTTTTTTTTCTTTTAATTTTTTCCTCATTGCCCGTTTAGACAATAAACTATAATAATTACAAAAAAGATATACATGTGCAAAAAAGAAACAAAAGAGAAGTGTAGTTATTGAAAAAATCGTCGACGTTCTAGTATCACCGATCATGAAAACAAATTAACCAGTGCTGTCCAATGCCCACAACCTGCAATTTCTAAAGCGTTGAATGGAATTTAGCGGTTTGAATTGTTTGAATCTAGATAAGCCTACAGTAGCCCTTCTATCCTATTCTGTTCATCGGCGCAATCATACTTCCATCTCTCCACTCTGCCCACTTTCTGCGCGCGGTAGGTACAAAGAAAGATTCCTTAAGCGCTACGCGGTAGACGACCAACTTTTAGGCTAGAGAGAACGCATGAGTCATTGTCTGCGTGCACAGACTAAGGTCAGACATTTTTTTTTCGCTAGAGGATCCCGTGGCCTCTCCGCGTTGTCGGCTAGCGCAAAAGAAACTACGCGCATCGTCTATCGCCGATGTCGACTAATGTGGCTACTAAAATTTGGGAAAATGTCTCGCGTGGCTTTGAAATTTGTTAACGGTGCGATTGCTATTGCCTATTGATTTTTTAGGCGACCACACGATTACAATTTATTTCGAGGGCGGTCAATGTTCAAGCATGAATGAAAACGCACCTATCACCAACTGATTCAGATTTTTGATTTAAGCTCGTCGTCGTCCTCGGCATTCTCCTCAGCTTCATGTCCTTCATCGGAATAATTCTCTTCATCAGCAACCTTTTCATTGACGGCCTTGTCCTTGCCAGTGATGTCCTCGTCAATTTGCCCGCTAGTGCTAGTAGATGGTGTCACTTCCATCGTCACGATTTTCAAGAACACCTCAACCTCAATCCTTTCTTCATCGTTCTCTCCAAAGTCAGTTTCGTCGTCGGCACGTGCTTCTACAGCCATCTCAACCTCGTCGCAAGAATCAATATCTTCTGCCTTAAGCTCCTTTCCAGCCTCAATTTCCACTTCTGCGGCAATATCTACTTCGACTTCAGCTTCCCTTTTTGTATTTGATTTCTCCTCGATCTTCGCTTTCTCGTCGATATCTGCTTCCTCTCCAACCTTAGCTTCCTCCGCAGTCTCAGCTTCCTTTCCAACATTAGCTTCCTCCCCGGTCGTAGATTCTTCTACGGGCATAGTTCCTACCTTGGTGTTATCTTTTTCTTCTTCTTCGGCCACAGTGTCGGTAGCAATTGCCTCCTCAGCTCCAGTGTCCTGTTCAGATTCGTCATCGATCTCCGTTTCATCTTCCTCTACGATAGTTGGCACTAGGGTGGGACGAATTCTTCCAGTGTCCTTGCAATTTGGAGAGCCACATGTGCAAGTGCCTGGCTCTGGAATAGGCGCGAAGCCGTACAGAGTACAATAATCGAGGACGATTGTGCGAGAAATTTCTCCGTATCGACCCGGTGGATGTATGATTATTTCGTACGCAGGAAGAATTCCCTTTTCGTAACGCGGTCGTGAATTGTCTACGCAGCTGATGTGCCCACATCTGGCCTTGTATCGCGGTGGCTAGAAAAAGGTAACGATATTAGCCAGCGTAAGTAATCTGAATTCTCACCACTGGATTGCAACAGTAGCAAATGCATGCACGGCGGAACGAGCAGCACATACATCCACATTTACATGGTTCACGCGGTGGTCTTGGATCATCCGAGCGTCCTTGGCGACTGAGAAACATCCTGACGAAGTATAAAATAATATTCAAATAATGACAAAAACAACGAAATCACACGATGAAGACGCGCTCGCTGTCTATATAATGGTTTTGCTTAGAAATGAGAAAAAAAAACAATTGTTTTATTGGTCTTGTATCACGCGGGAGCGCCACGAGGAAAAGAAGAAGGGGAAAAGCGAGCGAGAGAAGTGTCGGATGGTATGCGTCGAAAGATGAGAGCCGAATAGAATGGGGCGAACGAATGTGCTAAAAGGGGCGTGGCGTCGTTCGCGACGGCGGTAGAACAGGGCGCCGTCTGGCAGAGGGCGCGATCAATAGAGGGAGCCAAGACGAAAGATGGGCGGACTGTGGCCATGAGTTAGAGAGATGATATTTGATTGGTTTTTTGGAGGGTTGATAGAATTGGACAAAAATCTCAACGGTTCAACTTTTATTGTCTGGGAAAGCTGTATAAGGACAAATGTGTACGAATGCGCCGTAGAGGGCACCTTTCGAATGAGTTTTATGAGTTATTGTGGGAAGTTTTTTGACCCTCAGACAACACACATTGCCGAGTTAATGAACCGTGTTCTCATTTTTTTTTGAGATTCTTAACCATTTGTGTGAGGAAATGTGGAACTGGATAATTTTGAAGATGAGAGTACTGAGATAAACAATCTATCAAAACTCGCCTTTATTAAGTGACTGGATTGACAATAGCAAACACGTGCTTGATGATGAATAATTGTCTTACAATCGAATCGATATAAAATATGTGGGCGTACTGAGATGCATGCAAATTTCTGCGACCGATTTTTCTTGCTGACAGAATCGTAAGAGAAAACAAAACTTTTTCTTCAGACACTGCACAGTATTGCCCAATATTTTAAATGATTTTTCCATTGTCCATGAACAATACGACGATACTAACAACAGCATGACGTGTTCAAAACAATTAATTTTTGCCACATTAAAATTCGGGAACTGTCAGCCCTACACATTGTTTGCATTTTCTGAAAGAAGGAATCGAATGAACCACGTTTTACAAGACGTTGAGCGCTACACTGACAAATTCTTGCAATACGTGGACGAGAGGGAAAACATTTCCCACAAATTGAGCACGACTACAAATTTTTAGACTAGAAACCAACCTCATTGTTTAACTTTTACCAAAACTTTCACAATTTCCATACGCGATAGATATATCTTTTTAACTATAACATTATTTTTGCCGCGAAAACGTATTGCTAAAAAGCCAACAAAGAAATATTACTGATTTCGTGAAACCACAGCTTATTGAAAAGATAACGATCTTTGTTTCACGGTTGCTAGATATAAGGGAATCAGAAAGAACGTGGCAATTTTTTGAGGCCGCGATTTTTACCGATGACGACGAGAATTGTCTCAAAAAATCGATTCGAAAAAAGGTAGAGATTCAAAAACAACATAGCGGGTAACAAGGATGCTGAACAAATTTTCTTGCTGACCTCTTATTCCCCACAGCGAATCTACACTGCCGTTTGTCTCATTGAGATCATATCAGATTGGTGAGAACCCTACCGACACGGGTGCTGTTTGAATGATCTGACCTTACACTCCTATTTTTCGAATCACTCCATCATTGTCTGCTGGAGATGCGGAAAGCGTTTGAATTTTATTGGAATAAAAATTTAAAAATAAATAAACAGGTGTGTTAAATTATGATATCTGCTTTCAAAGGGTTCCGATTCGTTTATATGGCATGCTCGCATTTTTTATTTCGCGAACGAAAGACTTTCCTTTTTTTTGGCTATTAAACCATATTTATGATTGTACGAGCGGTAACTTTATTTTCGTTGTTTTCGGAAACTTGAAATTCGTATGGAAAATTAACGTGATCAATTACAACAACGATTCATTTATTTGGAATGTTTACAACGTATAGTACAATGAAAAACATATTCGCAGTTTACTTTGGTTCGTTCATTGACTACTGTCATCTATTAGGTTTTCTCTGCTTGCAAATCTTCTCATCGCCGCGCGCAGATTTTGGTGAATCGCATCGCGATTAACGTATACGAACTGCCCAATATTCAAGAGCGTTAGCAAGACAATCGCCACAAAAAGAATCTAAAAGACGCGTTTTGTGACTAAAAATTATAAATAGCATACCATTCGTTCGTTTTGGCAAGAATGAAGATTTTTTGCGCAATTCTTACTGGCTTCAAGTTGGTCCATATTGAAAATATATTTAGGGCTTTCTGGAAAATACAAATATAAATGAGGGGTGGTGTTATTATAAACAAAACATTTGTTTCGCAACAATTTTCTGCACAAAAGAGCTAAACTCCGCGTAACGTAAAACTGGACGTCTCGTTGACAAGAGATTATATTTTCTTTATTTCATAATTAAGGTTTGATTCAATAGTTTCTAGGTGTTCTGTTTGTTGTGGAATTTAAATTTTTGCAGTGTTACTTGAAATTGTTTAAATTTTGATTTTCCATTCGACACGAACCTTGATTGAGTTTGGTCATGAAGAATGTCAAAATCAGAAAACCTGGAAATTTTTGCGAATGTAAATTCATACAGCTCCTATGATCTCTTGTCTCATTTATCTTGCCATATCTCATCGCGTAGATCTCTACGTTTAACACATCTTTCATACGAGATTTTTTAAAAGATTTGTGTTCGATGCGGCGAACATGATTTCTCAACATAAACTTCATCGACGAAAAAAGAAAAATATACAACCCATCGAAATATACAATAGATATCTCGTTACGAAGTGTCTAAACAATCACGTTGAATATTCAGAGTGAGAATGAGTTTAATTAGAATTTTTCGTTTGTCGAATCAGGTGTTTTGCTTTCTCGACGAAAACGATTCAATTGTTGGTTGATTTTTTGCGAAACTTTTCGACTAAGACGCCTCAAATCGAATCCGACTTCTCCCAAATTCGCGTCTTTACTATCATCCATAAAAAAATAGGCAAGAGTGAAATGAAGTAGAGCAGTTGAAGCCGCAGTGTACAAAGGAGCAGCTGCCCATAATTTCTTGACGTGAACCTAAATCCAATATTGAATCAAGAAAAAAAAACGCATCAACGGCAGATAATTACCATGTTTGTTGCAGCTACACCCGCGATTCTGGAAAGAAATGAGCATGTACCACAGACGGTGCCTCGCACTTCAGTTGGGACCTGCTCCACGACACATCTGAAAAATGATTTTAATTTAATAATAATTTGTTTAAAAGCTCACAAAAAGCACGCATCCCATACGAATTCCATTGAAGAATATCCAATGAGATATATGATAACGTAGAAAATTTTAAACTTTTTTTCTAAATGGGTCGTCAAAAATATTCCGCAAATCAACATTGAAACTCCGTTGATGAATAGAGAAACCAAATGAAGATTTCTTCTGTTAATAATTCCTAAGTAAATTTCCGTTGTTCCAAGTAACTGAAACAAAGCAAACGATAATTTCATAATGAATGTAAATCAACCATTTTCAAGACAGATGGCACCACTGCTAATAATAGCTGACTGGTCAACAATCCATTCAAAATGTTGACTTCGGAAAAATCAAGCATGGTATTTGTGAAGTTTGTCATAATCCAAATTGCTCCGAATAATATGATCACATTTCTGTATTTCTCCTTCTTCCAGATTTGCGAGAACGTCAAACTTTTGTTTTTTATTCCGGTTGGCAAATCTTTAAGAACAACTGTTTATTCGATGCTGTGGCAAGTTTACCAATAATGCAAAGACCACCGGATTTCTCAAAAACTCTTCCGCTGACCTGTTGAGCTTTTTCTCTCTGACCCTTCAAACAATAACAGCTAGTGAAGAAATGAATGAAGACTTACGTGGCAGTGTAACCATGTCGGGCTTTCCGGCATTCCAAAAAAATATAATCCGGAAGCAACCAGTGTCAATGCGGAACTGACATGGAGGGATATTCTCCAGTTTTGAGAAAATGAACAGACCGCCACAAGAACAACTTTCGCATTTGGCTAATATTATATAAATTTAAATAATATTGATAAAATAAGTTATACCCAGTTGGAAAATGCTCGAGCAAGAAATCTTGTCTTTGGAGAAATGAGCTCCGTTGTATGGCTCCAAGCGACAATGATCATAGCTCCGGCTTGAGTTCCGATAACAAACCGACATACCGTAATAGCAATTGTATTCGTAAGAAATCCTTAAAGTTAAAATCAGTGATCAAGTCTGTGAAAATGAGATATGAAAATTCTAGGAGTTGTGAAATTACGTAAGCAAAATTTTACAATCATATTGCATTTTCTTTAAGACACATTATTTAAATTTCTATAGGTAAATGAAGGTTTCAAAATTTACCCTCTATTAAAAGGATTATCGAAGAAAACAGCAGCGAGTATTGGCAAACAGTCTTTCTTCCAATATGATCGGATACCCACCCTGAAATTCTAAGATAGGTAAGTTGAAATGCTTTAAACCAACCAAATATCAATGATCCAAAAAATACCCCAAATTGCTGAATTGTAATAACCTTTTTCCACCATATCGAATCCACATCCTTGTTACGAATAATGAACTCTGAATGAGTTGATAAAAATCGCTCTTGGGTGACCTGCAATATGAATGTTAGCAAAAAAAGCTTTTGACGTCAAAACGTACAAACATGTAGAACCCATTCTCTTTTGTATTCCGAGCTTCTTTTATATAAGGATCAGTATCATTTAATTGTTTGCCCATATGTTGAAAACACAGGAAATAGATTTTGCACCATAAATATTACAGCAAATTGATAAATAAAGAGCATAAAAATTTCATGTCTGTTAAGCATTCTTCGTTGCGAATGCTTCAGAAGAAGCGCTAGTTATTGGCGGAGAGTTCAATGCGACGACAATTTGTCATCTAGCGGAAAATTAGTCACAAAAATTCTATTCAATTCGGTTCTTCGGAAGCCGCTGATTAATTTTTCATCAGAAACATTACATATAACTCGAATTTCTTTTGTCAATGGTACAATTAAGGAACATTCATTAATACTGTAATATCTTACACGCCTTTTGAAAATTGATTTTCAGCGTAAACCATAAAATCTAACAATTCAACAGATCTACAATATTTAGAAATGTTCTTTTGTCTCGATCAGTGATGTCCATACGCTTTCGTGACTTACGCATACGCAGTTAGGAAATTTTCAGACTTCCTGACACAATACTGGTCTTTTTGGAAAAAATTTTATTTTAAAAATGAAAAAAAAATGAAACGAATAAAAATAAGAAAATAATCGCAATGTAACACTACTCAATAAAGCAAGAATAAAGTAAATATATATATATATATATGTATATATGACACCTTTTTTGCATATATACATATGAATATTTTCTGAATTAAAGGAGGGGGGAGGGGAGATTCTTTAAAAGTATTTTAAAAACTCATTGGAACTTGATAAGAAATTTAAGAAAAAGAACGAAACTTCTACGTTGAATCGTCACGGAAAAAATCGAAAATGAACAATATGTGTATTGTCGTCAAAACAATAAATATATGCGCAAATTATCAATATCCTTTTTGGCATTTCTTTCGAAAGTTAACGCCATCTTTGTTTTTCATTTATTATCCAAGAGATCTGAATAGGCATTCGAGACTTATACAAAGGAATGTCACATAATTAAGCATCGTAATGACATCTTAGATGTTTAAAAAAACTTCATTGCCAATTTTGCAGTAAAGAAACACAGATAATGGGAAGAATTTTTGTAGAGGAATTCAGCAAGACGGATTTTGCTTTTCCATTGAAAATTGTTTTTTTTGTGAATGTCACACTTGCCTAATACGTACTCATTAATTCTGATAATTTTAAAACCACTCAAGATTACTCTTCGCCCACCTCACGCTATTCAATAAAATGTTAGTCATTCGTCTGGAATTCATGATGAAGAAATGTACTTTAACTAAAGATTAATTAAGAAATTACCAAAATTAATTTTAATTAAAAAGGGCTATTTCAGGAATCAATATAAAGGGCTATTTCAGGAATCAAAAAAAGGAGAGCTGATTATTTGCAAGAGTCATGAGATCAGATGAGTTTTATTGACTTCATTTTTTTAGTAAAAATTAAAATTCGTGCGATTAAATTTTATCGAGTGTCGTTCCTATTAAATTGCTAAGAAAAATAGTATTTTGAGATGTTTTTTTTTCATATAAATCGTAAATACGTATTTGCACGGATAATTAAAGTAAAGTGAACTAGAAAAGTTTCCCAATTTAATAGAAAATTTTAAAAATTTTAAAACTTCGATTGCAAAATACACTAAAACGTTTTACCGTTTTTTTAATGACAATGGACAGAGTTTTAATTTCATGTTTCATTCAGTTTGTTTTACACTGTGATAGTCATAAAACGCAGTAGCCATTTCTGTCATTTTTTCGCTCAGTCTCGACCAAATTGAGGTATGTTTCAACAGAACCAGACCTCTTTCCATTCGATCCTCGTAAAATTTTTTGTAATTTTTGCGCCTTTCAGTCACCGTACAGATTCTGCCACAAGATAATTATGTTTCGCATTTCGTTCCAACGAAAAATGTGATGATGAAAACGAAATGCCCATAGCCTTATAGTAATTGTCGTCAACCGTCATCATTCGTTTCAAATTATAAATCAAAACCATTTCAGTCGGTATCGAAAAAAAAACCGAAAATGAATGTTAAGTTTTCTTTTTGTTCATGATTGATACTGTAAAACGCTTTATTTGTTCCCGCATTCCCCTCCTATCTTCTTTGATTTTTAATACAACCAATCGACAATTAGTTATCATCTCAATTATTTTTTTTCATTTCGTATTTCAGGTTATGCCAATATGCGGCGGCTCATTCTGATTTTATTGTTATCGACTATCTGCTCTGTGCATTCGGCTCTGTACAATGATTACGCTCAAGTGATACTTTTAACTTCTTATCTAACATAAGCTTAAACCGATATTTGATTTTTTTTCAGATACAGTTCTTGCGAGACTGGGCTGCTTATTGTGTAGATATGAGCCTTCCTTCGTACGATGCTCGAGAAGTTGGTCCAGAAATTCGGAAATGTGACAATGAACGATGCGTGTTTTTCATGTACAAGTATATAGCAGACAACTTGCCGGATTATTTCCGAGATTTCGATATCTGTTTCGAGAAGAACACAGCGAAGCGAAAATCGGAAGACAATAAGAAAATTTCACAATATTGAACTTTTAGCAACTAGTATTTTTCATTGTTTTTGATCTCTAAATGTAGTTCGAACCTCTGTCTTTCCGTTGAATAAATAGTGATATAAATTGATACTTTGGTATCGAATCAGCTAATGAGGTCATCCTTGGATTTGACGTAGTATTCACACGAACGGCGATTGTCACAAATCTCGAGAAGAAAGGAAAACTGTGTGAAACAATAGAAATCTCTTTTCGATCAGACATTCCCTTTTAGTCGCATTGAAAACAAACGGCATTCGATTATTAACTATGAATAGAAGATTTCTTTTACTTTGTTTCTTTACCATATCAGAAGCATCACGTGAGTTGAACAATTTTAATTCAAACAAAGTAATGATTATCATAATACAGTACAATGCTTTAATGTCATTCCAAGTAATGCGATATCGAATTCCGATCCGATTGCTGAATTGTTTCACGTCACAGCTGGCGAGTGTCTGAACTATTGTATTCAACAATCAGCGCAAAAAGGGGTAACTTTTTTCAAACGTATATTTAATAAAATGCCAACAAATTTTTAGGATGGATGTGTTTCGGTCGTTTTCCACAGAAACTTCAATACATGCCAATTATATGGACATGACGGCACACTTGATGGTTAAATTGTTCGCTCATATTTTTTGATGATTCTTCACAATTTTCAGACGCACAATTAGTATACCTTGAAGAACATGAATTGTACATTCGCTCCAGTTGGGAAGGGCCCTGTCAGGACAAAGAAGGTATCAGAAAAGAAACATCATGAGAAAACAATAATTTTAGTGCCAAAAAGAGGTTATCAACAACAACCTGCACGATACGTTGCTCCATCTCAGCAACGCATCACCGTTTCTCCTCATGATTATGTTCCGCCTAATAATAATAATCAAAATACCAACAATAACTTCTTCGTTGTTCCAAAGGTACATTTTCAAAAAATAAGTGTTCAAAAAACTGTTTCTTAGTCCCAGCCTCTTTCAAATGTTGATTTACCAAAGATTGATGTGAATTCTATTCGTGAAGGGGTTCGAAAATCACCACAAAACTTTGAAAGCGCTATTATCAAAGAAATGGACGAACTTGAATCGGAGGATTATTTTGTTCAAACGACGACAGCAAAAACTCTAAGGAAGCCGAACTCAATGACAACTTTTAAAAACCCAACTAGAGGATATAGTTCGTATTCAGCACGATATGCAGAACAATTTTATGTTTCAGAGTGCCCAAACAAGCAAGATGTTCTCTCTTATTTCATCGTTTATGGAGCACGAATGTTCACAAAATCAGTTCCGCAACGATTGAATGGAGTTGATCAAAGCAGTTGCGCGATGTATTGCAGCCAAAATATCGTATGGCCAAATTCTAATAGTGCTACATAGATGATGGGAAGAAAACTCGAAAATGTCAACAAAATAGTTTTTACCTGCTTTTGAGTATTATTTTTCGCAAAATCTATTCATAGCATCATAACCTTCAAATGCAACGGGCTCATTTCAGAATGCAATAGGAAATAATATCCCGTGCTACTCGTTCAATTATGAAGGAGCCAACGAAATTTGCGAGATGTATAATAAACAAGATGAGCTTCATTGGTCATGGGCTTCGTTGGCTATCGATCAGGATTACGTTTTTGCAGACAAATTCTGCATTAATAGTACGGAGACTGAAAAAAACCCTTGTAAATAAATATTGCAGCCAAAAAGGATTGTCCTGCTGAAACAAATTATCCAGTTCATTTGTATAGACAAATCAATCGAAATATAATTAGAAAAATTGCGGGATTGAATTCAAAAGTTGCATGTTTAGCAGAATGCATTGATAACGAGGATTGCAAGGTTTTATACTTTAAAATGTATTGGTTTCAATAATTATTTCAGGCGGTTACATACAAATCAGCACTTTGCGTGCTTCACAACTCTTCTCCGTCCGATGATCCAAGAATTCTCAGCGAAGGAACTGAAAAAACAATGGTTATTGAAAATGGGTGTTATGTTCAATTAAAAACTGATGAGGACTTGACCACTAAAGTTAAAGGTTTGTTTTCTATTTAGATGACGTTTGTAAATTAATAATTCATGAATTTCTTTTTGCAGTTCCCGAAGAACAATCATCCGATTCTTGGCAAGAATGGAGTTTATGCCAATTTGGTGTGAAGGGCAGAAAAGTATGTTGCGCAATTTTGTAAAAAATTAAGATTAAAATTCAGATGAGAGTGAGAACTCGAGAATGCGACGAATGCGAAGATAATCTGCAAATGGAAGAATGTTGAAACTATCAATGTCTTTTGTACATACTGTGCTACTTACTTTAAAAACTATATCAATAATTTTTAAAAATTACGTTTTATTAATAAATATTTGCTGCTCGTTTCATCGTTCAATGATAGCTTCTGCCGACAATTTACGTTACAAATGTCTCATCAATCACAGAAATTGTTCCAATCATAAAAAGGAATAAATAGACGGAAAAGCGGCGCGGATCTTTATCTATTCTCCAAATCGCAGTTGAACAATGAACTTGAGTGCGCGCTTGATTGCAACCGCAATCCTTCTAAGTGAAAACCGAGGAAGCAAGCGAGATTCTCGATTCAGCCCATGCTTTATCTTCTCACCTCGCCACTTTCCAATTACGGCCCGATTTATTCCTGTATCGTAATTTCTCGGTCTTCATTCTCGTTTAAATCCTTCGTCTTTCATTATTTGACCGCAACAAATTGTTACATTTTGAGACTGTGGCCGGATTTTTTTTTTAAATTCTCATACATTTTTTATCTGAAAACCATATAAATTGATACTTTTAGATATGCATTTTCGACTACTCTCTCTAATTCTACTCTTTCAAATACTACCACGAGCATATTGCGATGATTGTGAGATGAAAAAGAAAACTAAAATTTAAAATTTAATTTTAAAATTTCAGTTCGGAATTGCTTTAAAAGAATATCTCGAAGGTCTATCGGAAACTACGCACCAATTGCTGAGTATCGCAATACTCCTTTGACAATGTGTACACAACACTGCGTTATGGCTGCTGGAAACGGACGAGATGGTGTAAGGTTGTCATGACATGATTGATAGAATTCTGCCTGCTTCAGGGTTCAATCTGCAAGTCATTTACATATGAGTCCAGCAAAAAGTTGTGCAAGCTTTTTGATCACGACGGTCATAAGGTGGATTTGAAATACTTTAGATACTCAACATTTTTTAGGTGCCTGCTGTGATCCATCCCGTTATCGGAATTGATATATTTTATCGAACTTCTGATCAAGGCAATTGTGCAGGTCCAATTTCTGGCCAAAAAGTGAATCTCAATTTTGCTCAATTAAATTCACACAAAGATTTGCACAAAAAAGAAATTGAAAAGAAAGATATCACAAATCCAAAGTAATCACTATAATCGTGTGTGATAAATAAGATTCTTATCTATTATTTCAGAGATGATCAATTCATGGAAAAAGCTAGAGCTTTGTCTTCCCCAATGTAAGTGTTTTTGAGTGTACAAATCCGGTTTAGTTGATAAATTAAAATAGTAGAATTGGTGACAACATTTCTTCGGATTATCCGTACACATTATCTTTTGAGTGTGTTGACATAATGCGTGAGGAATGATCGTATTTTGCAGTGTGAAAATGGATAATCTTGATACAATCCTTCGATCCAAACTTCGAGGAGATGATGTTCTGGTTCCAATGTCGCAGCCCAACGAGAAACAGGAACAAATCGAAACAAGTAAGGCACTAGTCTTGAATCGTCAAAACGAGGATTAGAAAGTTCATTCGATTCAATTGGCTTATCATCTTTTTTTGACCCGTCTGATATCCGATCGAAAGCAATTTCTAAAGGTTGACTTTTGGACGCAGTGAGAGTGATAAATGTTCTTTATCACAACACATTTCCTTTTTCTTGGTAATTAATAATAGCTTAAGTCAATCGCATCTAATAATTTAAAGGTTTCTAACTTTTCAAATATGTGGAAATCAAATATTGAATCGAGTTTTTATTCTCTAGATCCTCCTTTGCAATGCGATACGTCGAGAGGTTTTTACGTAGTTATCGGAAATGAAATTGTCCTTCCGATTAGTGGAGGTGCTGTCAAAGTTTATAACAATGTCGAACAAGGAGATTGTGCAAAATACTGCAGCGATAATAAGGTTTGATTTTCACGAAAGACCTTAATTATTTATTTCAATAGGGACCTGATGAAGAGACAATAATATGCCGCTCATTAAATTATTTCCCTTATGATCAAAAGTGCGAGCTATACGGTATTCTCGCTGAACCTCATGGAACTGGAAAGCTAATGGAGAATGAAAAAGTCATATATGCTGAAAAATTCTGCCTTCCTGGTATTTCAACACGGATGTAATTTCATACTAATTGTTTTAGAAAGTCCCTATGTTTGCCAAGAAGACGAAATCTTTATTTTGCACGCAGCAAAGACTATCAAGAAACGAAAGTTGTCAACAAAATCGGCAAAGTCGATTACGGATTGTTTACGTAGATGTTTAAGCCACGATCAGTGCAGAGTATGATTTAGTGGATTAATCCTTCGAACATTTGAGATTATAGAGCTCTGTTTTCCACAGTAATGAAATGCAGTGCGATCTATATGATGTTGATGGAACTGATGTGAACTACATTAGGGATTCCGGAGAAGATTCAGTTATAATTGAGAATAGTTGTAGAAGAGAAGGAGTGACTCCGCAGCGTAGAATTACGTCGAGTAGCGACAACGAAAATGTAGAACAGATTTCGCAGCCCAAATCAGTGAGCATTTTTGAATTTCCTGCTTGAACTTTGCAATTGTTCAGAGAAGCCGGACAATGAAAAGTTTTGAGGAAGACTCAAGTGAAGGTTGGTCTGGATGCGACTATAAAGTCGATGGTAGACAAGTCAAAGTAGAAACTTATCTGGTTTTATTATAACGGAAACCATTTTGTTTCAGGTACGTACCAACGATTCTGGTGAACTGGAAACCAAAGAATGCTGAGGATTCGCAACAAAAACAACTCGTAACTTATAATAATATTAATAATCAATTTTAATAAACATTTATTTCCGCCAAAATACGTTGAAGATAAAATGTTGTGTGCTCACCAAGTGTTTCTAATTTGGAGATCCGTCAAACAATGAAAATTAAAAACTATGCCCAATAACAATGTCATTCAATTTTTTTTTTCAAGATTTTTAAGACGTTTTTAGCTGAGAAATTAAACGATTTCGGCGTTTGCATTATTATGGGAGATGAATTGGAGCGAATGAATTGATTGGTAGCTTCTCCTGAGCCTTTTCCTGAAAACATATTAAAAAAAAACGAATTTATTTTATTCTTTGAAATTGATGTGTGCACATAAATTAATTTTGAAACATTACAGAATGTAGTTTATGATGGAATATAGGATTTGTCGCCACGAAAATTTGCCAACAAAAGAAACATATATTTTTGGAAACTGAATTGTTTCTGCCATTTGAGGAACATAGATCTTCGGTCCGTAATTTCGGCATTACATGCACCCTCTTTGATATTCTTAAGTCTCTCTTTAGAGACTTTTCTTTCTAAAAAAAAAACGTCAATTTTCAAGTAATCTTGAGGGTGATGTCTGAACAAAAATGGTGGCATATTTTTGGCTTGTAAACGGACGGCAGTTGAGCAAAAACCACGAAAAGCCTTCTGAGGCCAACAACATACCTTTTTGATGTACACCATCGAACGAAAAATAAAATAAATGACTGCTCCCACGACGAACAGCGAGAGAAGAATCATGAGAGCAATCAACTCATTGCGAAACGAGCTCTCTGTAAGTTCAGCAGTTTCAGCAGAAAATTCAGCATTTCCCATTTGAATTTCTGTGGGGGGCTCATTAGTAGTTGATGTAGAAGTAGTCACTGGGCGAATTTTACTAGCAATTCGAGGCATCACTGGGATAATATTTTGCACAATGGAGAGCGGTCTGGGAGTGACAAGAACGCGTTTCATCGATTTAATGCGGCTCGAGCGGCGATCAGCAGTGCTGCTTTTTCTTTTCTTTTTATGTTTCTTTGATGAAGAACGTCACACCTGTTGTCGTCCCGGCTCGCTTATTTTCTAACACACGCCACGTTCACTCATTCAGCTCAAGGAGTCGGCAGGAAATTAAAGACTAACCGCGATTTTTGAAATCCAAGCTGGTGAAATCTTCATGCATTTCCGAATTGTCAACCATATCGAAGAACTGCAATAGAAAATTTGGTAAGAAAGTGTTTGTTGTTGGTGGCATCGCATGAGAAGAATTGAAGACTCGAACTTACAACAGGTGACTGCATCATTTTAGTTTGTTTCGCAAAAATATAAATTGAACAAGAAGCGTTTATAGATGCGAAGCTGCCTGAATGCGCAACGGGCTGCAGAGCTCAGCGAGTCAAGGAGAGCACGCGAAAATGGCGAGGAGGTGGAGTCTATTCTTTTTCTCAGATGAGCTGGTTTAGAATAACTAGAATTGAATGAACGTGCCTACCTAATGCGCGATGCCGTTTATTTATATAGAATGGGATGGAATAGAGTCAAATTGCATGACAAATCAAAATAAATTGGTTGCTTTTAAGGTAATTGAATTCGAACATCAATTGGACAAGTATTGCTTTTATATACTTTTTCAAATTTCGAATTTTTTCTGAAATCAATACACAAAAAAGTTATTCAATGTGCTAGAATGAATGTTTTGAAAGATGTGTGAAATGTGTCAAGTGAGGGAATAGCATTTTATTTCAAACAACCTCAAATTGCAATCAATGTTATTCTACGACAATTACTCATAATTTTTAAGACTTTATCTTGTTCAGTTAATCGGGCTGAAAATATTTTACGAATCATCTGCAAATCGTTTAGTTTTATCTTGATTTTTTAGCTTCGCTGGTTAGAATTTGATACAACTTTTGCAGAGTCAACCATGAAAAAATATTTATTTTTTTTTAATAAACAAAATATTAGCCGTTCAATAAAAGTTAAACAAAGTAATTTGCAGCCAACGGTGCGGCGCTCTTGTAAAAAAAATTAAAATAGACAATGAAACGGGCTCGATTTTACGAACGATGAATTCAAAACAACGATTAAAAACAATATTCCCTTTTTCGGCATTCGTCTAGCACAAACAAACTTCTGTGTTTTTTTTCTCATCAATCATGACTAAAGTGTTCGGAATTATTATTTCATGTTATACATGAAACAAAACGCGCCTAGTTTTTTTTCCACTTGGTTATTGTGTGTCATTTTTTTCAAAAAACGCTTTTACGCCAGACAACACACTTCTAATTCAAGTGATTTTGTATGGAAGAAATATGGATGCACCAAGAAAAAAGAGCGGTTGCTCAAATGCGAATTTATGTTAGCCGCGAAAAATATATATGCTGTTTCTCTTTCTGCTATTTTTTTCTGTCTGCTAAATCGATACGCAAATGGACGTGGACCACACGAGTCGACTCGTCGCAGCTATTCGCCAAATGGGCAAAAAACAAGAGAGCAAAAAATGGAAGAAAGAAGGTTTCAAAAGCAACAATATTAATTTATAATGGTTTCTAGTGATATGTAAAATGAATTCCTTATTGCTTGTCATGTGGCGAAAAAAAAACAAAATGCATATAATTGTCGTAAAAAGGAAACAAGGAAATTAAACAAAATTTAAAGTATGCGTATCTTGCGATTTTAACATTTGAAACGCTAGAAAACAATAAAATGACATGATTCTTGATGTCCAAAACGGTACTATACAGTTTATTTTTTTGGCCTTTTACTGTAAGTATACAATTAAATTTTTCATTACAAAATATTTGGAACCGAATATGAATATATTGAAATATCAATTTTTTGACAAAAAATAAAAAGCCACTTTAGTCTTAATTTCAAAATTAGCTCTATTTGATTACAATAATGGTATCAAAATAAATTCCTTTTTAATTGGCTTTTCTTCGAAATCAGTTTAGCATCAAATGATATGAATACTCATATTTTAAGATCATGATTATCTCTTAGGTTCTAAATTTTCTGAACAACCATTTTTTCGTTAATTATCTTGTACATTGCGGCATTACCTTCACATTGTTCAATGCATGAGAACTTCGAAGGGCATACATTTTAGAAATTCATAAAATTTGAAATTCAATGTTTTTGTAGTATCTAAGTTTCTCGAAATTACTTCCGGACAACAATTCAAGAATTTTTTCAGTTAAAAAGCACATGTAAAATTACCATATAACATTCAGCTGCGAAAAATTATTAAAATTACTGGGTTGAGTTGGTTTTCAAAATTTTGCGAGTAATTAGGTGAGTGGACAGTAATAAAACGCTAGTTGGGAAAAGACGAAAGCTGTTCACGTTTCTGCACGTATTCAGAAGAAGTTGCCAAATATATGCACATAAATTTGATTTATTATGCATTATTTTCCTACTGTACTGCATAGGATCTTTGAAGTTTAAGGAAATATATATTAACTCGTGTAAACAAGGTTTATTTACATATTCAGCAGGTTTGTTCTTATAAATAAAATCTGAAATTCTGTGTATTTCAGACTTTCAACGCATGTAATTATTTAAAAAATGACAGAAAATGTGCATATTGAATTCAAGAAACATGAACAATCAAAAAAGGATGATTGTATATGTTTCGTGATCCGTGAAATGGTGTGCAAGTGCGTGGTCGAATGTTTGCTCCTCCAAAATCACATGGTGTAATGAAATGTACAAATAAAATATTTTTGTGTAGAACATTGCTACGCATTCAAGCGGATACGTGTCAGAACACACCGATGGTGTTTCACTCAATAACTCACCGACGCTAATTGGACAAGAGTGATGCATATGAAATGAATGTGCGCATTTACAAAAATTCGGCATCGACGGAAACACAAGCGACAATGAAATGTTTGTTTCATGTCGTTTCGGATGAATGTGCGAGTAATTATGTAATTAAGGGAAGTCTCGTTGGTCAAAAATCGTCAAGACAGCGATGCCAGAATGCGAAACAATTATCAAACATTTTCGGGGAAGGAATTTTTATACACTAAATATTGATGGCGTTATGGGTTTGTGTTGAATTGATTTTAAAATATTATATCATATATTGTTCTCTGATTTCACATCGAAAATTTTGATTAGAAAATTTTCAAATTTCAAATCTCCTGCATTTAAATTCATACAGATATATAACTTTGCTAACTCAAAGAATTGAAAAGAGTCCAACAACTTTGAAATAAATCGTAAGTTTTAAAATTGTTTTCCAAATTTTTTTATATAATCCATATTCCATTTTACTGTTAACAAGAACTAATAGTTTGATATTTTATATTACTAATTAAACTTTCTAAACTATGTACATTAAATGGAGTTTTTCCTATATTGCAACATGATCGAACTTGGCTTTTGTGTGACATTTTTCACACCCTTGGGAGATATCCTTCTCTCTTGAATATGGCTCTTTATTCAAGTTTATTTCGCAATGGTTTTTTTTGTCAAAACTCCAATTAGCGAGGTTGTGTGCGGCCGAAATAAGTTCGTTGGATGTAGATTATACCTTATGAGCGATTGTATTTCGAAATAAAATTTTGTTGAGTAATCCACTCTATGCAAAATATTTCCGTAGATGGATATATTCTTCTTGCCAGGCTGGAAAAAACTTGCCAATCTTTTCTAAAAATTATCCACGTTTCATTCTTTTTTTTTGATCCCCTGCATTTGTATTTCAACAAAGCCGCATTGATCGTCTATCTCTCTGGTTCCGAGAATCTGTTGCTAATCGGCATCCATATCTTCAAAAAGCAACTGTCACAAGTGGTGTGTAATAACGCATTCGCAAAATTGCGAAAGCCATTTTGTCGTACTTTTGAAAATTCATTAACTTTATAGAACCGATACAAGAATATTATTCCTACTCTATTCCAAATATTTCGCAAAACAACCAAATTAGGAACGGTTGTTTGTAATTTATAACATCTTAAAAGGGCGGTTATCTGTTTGACGAATCATATAAATAATGCTATCAGGAGTATCAGCATTTATGCGGCGTAGCTAAAATCCTATGAAAATATTTTTATACAATTAAACTATTATATAATGTTATATTTTACATAATAACAAGAATTTTTATATCGTATTTGTCTGTTTATAACTTTGTTAACTTTATCTATGTGCGTGAATCATTTCAAACTTTCTCACATACCTGTCCCGTGATTATTGACGCGGCAGGTATGTACACACGGCGTAATGACACCGCAAATTTCCGTCAGGTGAAGTGTTTGCGGAGTGGTAGCACTCAGTACACTTCAAATATAAAACTTCGAAAATCGATTTATTAGTTAATCTTGAAAGAATGCATAATTTAAGATTAATTTTGAGTATTTCAGGTTCAAAATTAGTTCCAGAAAAAGACCGCTGGTCGGAACACCACCAATGAATGGTGGGAGACGGGTTTGCAAATTATTTTGTTAATTAACATGTTGCGCAGTTTTACAGAATCCTCCACGGTTAAAGTTGCTTAATTTCACAGAACCAATAGAAATACGCGAACCGGACGACCCAATGTAAGACATATTATGTAAAACATTAACTTATTTGAATCGCTGTTTTTTCAGAGGATCAGTACGGGATGGATCAAATCTTTTGACATTGCCACCTGAAAATAAAGTCTACGCATTTTCATACTCAGATTTAGAAAATGTGGAATTCCTTGGAAGCGGAAGCTTTGGAACCGTTAATAGGATGATTTTTAAGAAAACTGGCCATGAAATCGCCGTGAAGGTGAATTTTTATTTATTTGAAAAATTCGTTTGTAATTATTCTGAAGAAAAATATGTGAATTGTTTTCTCTCTGACCATTGTTTCGAAAATAATTTTTTTCAGCGAATTCAAATGGGAAATGACGTTTCTTTGAAACAATTTCGGAAGGAAATCAACGCTGTAAAAGCGGCTGATGAATGTGACGAAGTTGTCAAATACTTTGGTATCACATTTTTTGAAGTGAGTTAATGCGTTCTAAGAGTATGGATAATATGTAAAATGTTTCTTTTAATTTATTTCATACTATTGTTTTCAAACAAATCTTATAAGAAATTACGATCTGATACATATTTTAAATTCAGAGAGAACCTTACATGTGTATGGAACTAATGGACCTTTCCTTGGATAAATTATACGTTTTGTGCCATAAAGTCGGCGGACAGTCGTTTCATGAACCAACTCTTGGATCTGTTGCTGTAGCGGTACCTATGTAGTTGAAGAAATTGAATTCATGATTAATTTACAGACAATACGTGCGTTGGAACATATGAAAAATAAACATGGAATTATTCATAGAGGTAGCTGCTGAATTTTATTGCTTAATAGTGGTATAATTTCAGATATTAAACCTTCAAACATCCTATTGAATCGAAAAGGATTGATAAAACTATGCGATTTCGGAATTTGTGGATTACTGCAGGTAAATTTTTATTATAGTGTTTTCCTCGCGGCAAGAAAATCGATCCAGGAAAGCGTAAGAAACTAATTGCTTCTATTTAGTATTGTCTCAACACATTTAAAAATTCTAACAGCGTATTTGCAAAATTTCACACGTTTTTGCTTTGCTGAAACAATTGCTAAAAATTGGTTGTAAAAACACTTGTTCAAAAAAAAAACAGCTTAACAAGTCTTAAACTTTCATGAAATACATTTTAACATTATTAATATATAGTTTATGTCATTATAACAATAAATAACAATACGTGAATATAACAGCAAATTGCGCCGTTCAAATAGTCACGAGGAAAATGAAGTTACGAAATACAGAAAAATGATTGGAAAACCGCAATATTTCGCAATCATTTTGCAATTATTTTCTTTTAAGCTTGCTGACTATTTAGGAAACGAAGAAAACGGTTAGTTAGTAAAATCGAGTGTTGTCGCTTTTTACTAATCACGAAAGTTTGATCTGCACCCAGGAGAGATTATAGGAGTTTCCACGGTATTATCGTTAATTACGACAATAGCTTGTTGGTTTACATTTATTTTATATTTATTTTATGCAGGATTCAGTTGCTCACACCCGCGAAGTTGGTTGTCGTCCATATATGGCGGTACGTTACTATTTTATTAAATAAATAAAGGATGGTCATTTTTTAGCCCGAGCGCATAAGTCCGTCGATGAAAGGATATGATGTTAAGTCGGATGTCTGGAGTCTTGGAATTTCTATGGTAGTTAAATATTATGCACATAACTAATAATGTACAAGTTACAGCTTGAAGTTGCCAACGGAATGTATCCGTATCCTGGTTTTCTAGAAGCTACTATAATGAAGCAAGTTGAAATGATCGTATATGGTGATCCTCCATTGATTAGCGAAACTGCAAATCTTTCTCTAGAAATGAAACGATTTATAATGCTCTGGTAACATATCAAATTTTTCAAATTAAAATTTGCATTGAATGTTTAGTGTCACCAAAGATCCATCAGTTAGAGCGAGCTTCAATGATCTAAAGTCAACGGATGCTTATAAAAAATATAGCGGAACCGAGTACCGCGAATCTGTAGGAAATTTTGTTTTAGAAATGTATGAACTTCGAAAAGAGTTAGGAGAAGTAAAAGCTTAAGAGTGGTAATATTTTTGCTCAGGTAGCATTTCATCTTTTGTCAATTCATTTATTACTGTGATATTCTCACACAATGTGCCCAATGTATGCTCTAATTCTTTTCAGGCCAGTTTTTTTCATGTTTGTTGTCATCCTTGTCTTTTCATGTGAGTATTTTGTTTTGTCGATCTTTTAATGCTAGTCTTGGAGTTTTCTATACTATCTACAATTCACTTTCATCCTCAAAAAAGATTATTTTGATTTCTGTGATTTTTATTTCAATGTTCTTTCCGTGAATAAACCTAGTATACTCGATCAGCCAACTAAAGAATGTATTATGAAATTGATAAAAAAGCAACGAAATATTGAAATAATAAAAGAAAAATCACAGGAAAAATTGCACAACTATTTTGCTTGTCACAATTAAGCATCAAATAAATATTCGATGGTTCATCGACCTACGAAAAGCTAATTCTAGCAAATGACTAGAACACATTTTACAAAATAGTTTTGGCATAGATTGAAAGAAAAAACATTGTGTGCGGGTTTACGAAAATTTTGGAGTGAAACTAAATCAACAGCAGAAGATTGAGATGACAAAAATGATTGGTTGAATATTGAATAACTTCAATTCTCTAACGGAGAAGAATGTAAAGGAATATGGATTGAATTGCGGAAATCATAACAAACGCAAAAAGCAATGTTGATTGAACCGTCGATAACATCAAATTCGAATATCTGTCAGAATTCGCCTCAATTCTTCGAACAGCAGTCTCGAATTGTTGTTGAACATCCTTTAATAATTTTTCGGTATCCACGTTTTGGGCATTTTGAGATATCTTCAACGATTTTTGTTCTGGCGAAGTTTTCTCTTCATCGCTGTCGCTACCATCAGAGTCATTCTAAAATAATGATGCGTTTTTTTCGAATTTTTGCCAATTTCACTTACATAACTACAATTATCGGTGCTGCTCGACTGATTTTTTGATTTCGATTTTGGAGTATCCGTAGGATGAGCAGTTATTGTCTTTACAACATAATCATATTCAACTTGTTGAATATCATTGTTAATGTCCCATGGGCGATAGCTGAAATTATCAATAACCACATGATTGGTCGACGAAAATTGAGGCTCACTCGGCATGAATGTACTCATATTCATCTCCAACTTTCTTGAAGAATTTTGTCTGGTGAGGAATTCCAGACTTTGCTCTTGCTCGCTGATCATTTTCCAAAGCGGTTTTCTCCTCAGTAGCCTGAAAACGTAAATAAATCTCCACTATGAGAAACTACCTTGTATTGGTCCTCGTTTTGAATGGCGATGGTGACTTGTCTCCACAACTTTGCCGATTCCCACTCTCCCTGATCGTCCAAATTAATTTCATATCTAGGAAGACGTCTGCTAATAATCTCTGGTGTCGGATTCCACAATTCCTTCTTTCTCCCATTTTCCTTAATGCGCATGAGACCATCCCACGCTCCATCAATAGTTGCCAAGACTTCTCTTCCATATTTGATCTCTCCAGCTACTTGGTTCATGCTTCCACCAAGGAATGGTTTCAATTTGAAGTCTAGGGTTGCTGAATAACCCGTCTTTTCGCATACAATGTCAACCTAGAAATACATAGAATTGATGAAAGGGTATCAGGAAGCAAAGTTTCAACCTCTCCGCCAATCTCCATAGTCAATGTTCCTATCATGATTCCTTTACAGTTTGCATACGGAAGATTCACAACGTAAGTCTCACCAAGATTAAGAAGTGTAAGTCTAGAAAATGTTTAATAAGTAATACATTTCAAGACAATCGCGAAATACTTCAACTTTCCGACCAAAATTGCCGACAAGCTGTTTCCATAGTATTTGCTTTTCGCAAGAATAGTGCCGCTGATATTGAATCCGGCTTTTCTGTTGGTAATAAAAAGCGAGGAAACTGGTGGATGATGAGACACCTGTAGACATTTTCTTATTTTATTGCATCTTTTCAAATATGTAAACCTGTTCGGCGATGTAAAATGTGGTTGAGCCATCTGGATGCTCCCACTTACAACGGAATGTCTCACCAAGAATTGGATTGTATGGCTTCTTTAATCCCTTTGGCTTCTTGTAAAACCCCGAAAGGAAAAACTTGGTGATTTTTACAATTCGTTGGTACGGATCCGGCTCGATTGCGGCTCTAAAAAAATGATTACTGTCCACTACAAAAAATAAAAATACTCGGAGATTAAATCAGCATGATAGTAGTAATCGGCCAGTTTCTCTAAGAACGAGCGTGGCTCAAGGATGAATGTTGGCAATACGACTTTTGAGAGGTCCATTCCCGGACGAATTTGCTTGAGGAGAGTCCAAATCAATGACTTGTTTTCTTCCGCAACATCCTCGGTTTGCGAGTCACCGTTGCCAAACTAAACAATTAATTCGAATTTCTTTTTAACGTTTCAAAATGCTAACCACTTCTTTGGGACTCTCAATCCATGCACTTTGCTCTACGTTCTCGCGAATAGTATCGCTTGACTCCGATTTTTGGCCATCATCCTGCTCGGTGTCATCCAATCCCTTGAAATGCTGCTCGGCGTCGGTCTCCGAATATGGTTTGCTCACGCCGATTTCATCTCCCTCCGAATCATGTGAGGGTTGTCTTTCTAATCTAGCACTCTCAACAATGTCGCCATCGTTCTGCTTTTCGTGAAGCTGCAATCAAAACGGAAACCGCAATTTCGGCTTATTTCCTCAATTTTTTCTTACATGATGCATCGTACGTTGCAGTAATCCGGTGCACTTGAAAGACAACTCAAGCGCGTCCATCCAACAGCGTCCAGCCTAATTGAAAAATTGAATGCGAAGAATGGGTAACGAAAAGTCAAGCGACGCGAAACAAAAAGAGTTTGGCTATTAACAATTTTGAATGAAGGAAAATTTTGATGTTTATTTTTCTGTCGCTCCCCCGAAAAAAAAAACTTGCAACGCACAAACCTGATCACTCGGCGCACGACAAATAAGGAAAGAAGTGTTGAGTGGCATCAAGGTGAAGCTGCCATAAGATTGTCCCAATGGCCCGCGATTGCCCCAAATTGAACCATCCATTGCCTAAACATATTTTTTGTGTTAAAATTTATCAAGACACATTATTTTTACAACAAAAATTTGTTTTTATTAATTCCGACTTTTCGCAGAAATTGTCGAATTAGTTTTAAGTAGACTTTTTTCTGTAATTATTGGCGACTCACATTAAAAAGCTTGAAGCAGAACCCATTCTTATTTGATGGTCTTTCGATGAGTTCACACAAATTGAGAAGTACTGTTCCAACCCAATCGCCCTTCAAGCATTTTATATTATAGAACTTTTAATGTTTCAATTTACTCTGTTCGCTTTTTTGTTTTTATAGATTATCAGAAGCCCTGGTTTCAAAACGCAGTAGTATCTGTTCCATTGCTTCAAGGCACCACGGATCTAAAAAACAAACATCCCCCTGTAAAATTAGCTAAAATTTATACCTTTAAAGTGTCTGCCATGACCACAACGGTCGGATCACGAAGCGCGGAGACAAGTTCATCAGCAACACGCTTTTTCTCATGTCGATATTCCTTTTTTTGCTTCTAAAAATGATGTTTGGTAAGGCGTTTGGTGACAAGTTTCAATTATTGGTTAAATAATTTACACTGAATATTTTTAACTTGTATTCCTTAACAGTTTACCTCAAACTCTTTATTAGTTGTCGAAAATGATAACAATCGATGATATACAACACTGAGCGAAGACCGTCGCTGTTGAGGCAGTGGTTTCAATCTTTGATGAGGTGGCGTTGTACTCATTAAGCGCCAAGATCGTTCTATTTTTCAGGTTGACTTTTTTGTTTCATCACGCCACGAGAACAAAAAAACGTATTTCCCCACTTATCATTCTCGACAGATTCTTAAACAATTGGCAGAGTGCCAGAACTACATATTATATCAATTAATATTTAAATGAATTTAAAAAAATTTGCAAAGAGGGTTTTGACTTTTTAGTTCTTAACAAAGTTTGTACTAAAATGCTTGTACCAGACATATATATGTATATTAAATTATTGCCATCAACGATTTATATTGCATACTTACAGTTGTCAATTTCTTAAGTTTTTTTTTCGATTTGTTAAAAAAATGTTTGAAACTTTATGTTTTTAACTGAACGTCTTGCGTGAGTTTTGCATCTTCAGAAATAAATGTGAAATGTTTTACAGGAACTAAAACATGCGATTTTTTTGCGTAATGGCTTAAAAGCTCAAGTAGTTAAACCAATTGCGTTAACAAAAAGATTCGTTGGAAACCATCAATTCAAAATGTGTGCGAAAGAATGGCATAATTATGGGCATCGCATTGCCTTTACGATGTGCGTGTTCTCAAAAATAGAAGTTCGAGAAAAATCAGAATAAATAACTACTAACAATTAAAAAAAACGAGAAGAGAGGGTGTAGTAACGTTGAATGCATAATTTTAACCAAGGCTCTCAAAAGCAAGAGATATCAATTTTCAGAGCTAATCTTTTCCTATTTCGCTAATGTGTATCTATATTGCCCATTAAATCGAGAACTTCTTATACTACAAGTTGGTAGTAAAAAAAAAACTTAACTTATACTCGCTTTTTTCCATTATTAAAATAGAAAATAACTGGAATATTCTGGTTTGTCCTTCTAAAACGTTAGGGCATCGGCTTGAAGAACAATCGCAATTCCACAGGGATTGTTAAAGTGAACCACAATTGAAGAAGAGCCCTCCCTCAAATACGCGCATTCGTTGAATTTTTCACCCACGCCATTTAAAAATAAACGCTTGCTTTTTTGGTACAGGAATTTTACCACTGAGCGAAAAACCATGAGTTATTATAGAAATCATACGTTTTCGTCAATGAATAATGCGTCATATTGGCATCTTATCAACATTTAAACAACACTCTCAATGCGTTTTCAAACATAGAAAATAAGTATGCAAAACATTTGCGGTGCACGAAAGAACATCTCTGTTCGAGTCAAAATAGATAGGTCGAGAGAAATGGCGTTGTGATGAATATTTTCGACAAGCGCTATTGTTCGTCCAATTTGAAATTTATGACGATAATTACAGAATTTTATGAAATTTATGGACAATTTTCTGAACAAAATTCAAAGAAAAAAAGACTGACTCATTTTTCTCTGCTTACCATAACAACATGAAACTGGTAGCAAATGAGTCATTTTTCTTTTCAAACTTGTTGGTTTCGCCTTGGGCGTGTTTTCAAATTGAATACACCACTGAGCGGTTTGATTTCGGGAATCACCAGTTTTACGGCATAGAAAATAAATCGAAAGTTTACTTTTTTATTTCGAAATTGCTTTTGATAATTTAATGACAAGAATATTTCGAAAAAATGTTTTTGGTACATTGGCTTAAAGTGAACTTAACATTGTTTTTTTACTGCGCTTATCAACGGTGAATATTAATAATTCTATCATCATTAGGATATGTTTGTTTCACCCTATCACTAATTTAATGTTAGTACAAAAGAATATTAGCTATTATTAAATTAAAAATTAAAAAGGAAAAAATTTCTGAAACTTGTGAAAAAGTTCGAGTCTTGACTTCAAAATAAACGAAACGTGATCTTGTAAATGTCCGACGTTAATACGGCTTATTCTAATGCAAACACAAAATTATGAAAATGTATTCAAAAAGTCAGTGGAAAGTCAAAAACAACTCGCTCGCCTGCATTAGTTTTTTTACGATTTTTCCATCCCAAGTTTTTCTCACAAGCAATAAATGAGTTTATTTTCGGAAGTAAATATGAGACTTTAGGGGAATCAAATTTTCGGCGGCAAAATTTCCGAATCGGAGTATAAGATGAAAATATCATATTGAACATCGAACAGTGTGTTGATAAGTTCAGATAATCTTCGACATTTATCATTTCCCGAAAATCAAACCAAAAATTGCTACATAACATTGATAGTTCACGTTACTGCATTGCAACTTGACGCGAAAAGAAGTGAATTGATTCGAGACACACAAACACATACACTCTCCAAATTTTCTTATCAAGTTTAAGATTTGGCTACGACATTAGGTATTTGAATTTCTATTGTGTTCCTGTAAAGGGTCATTGCGAGAAATAAATTTTAAAAAAATGGAAATTACAAAAAAAAAAGAAAATTTCAATACAGAAAAAAAGAAAAATAATAATTTTTGTCTATTATTTTTTCTTCGCTGGCTCTTAAAAAACAAAAACGAGCAAACCTTTAACGATTTTCTCGTTTCATCCACGTCTTCCATAGATTATGCAGATATGTCGAATTGCCAGAAAAAGACCACGTAATTATTTGGTCGACGTTGCGTGATATTCTGCAATTTCATTCAATTCGAAAAAAAACACCAAGAAGAGAACAACTGACAAAACGACTACGGTGACGGTTATTTATATTAGCTGCACGAATTAATAACAATATACATAATGACTAAACGTTTAGTCCGACGGCGAAAAAGTTTGTCAATGTTTTTGAAATTTCGCGCTGAAAAAATTCGCGTTCGAGAACGTATTTTCAATAAACATAGATTTATGATCTCGTCCACATATTTTATGTGGCAGGTGATTCGCAAAAAAATGTTTATTCAATGCGAAGACGTTATCGACTATACGAAAAATGTTCTTGACCATATATGCGGTTATATTGTAATTTGAAAAAAATATTTTTTGAAAAAACGGAATCAATGAAGTATGATTTGCATATATGCTTCTATACAATTAAGAGCGAAGCCATTTTCGAGAAAAAATACTTTCATTTAAGCACGAACATGAAGTAAGCAAAGTATTAATATTTCTGTCAGAACTCATTAATAATAGCCTACGAAATACCGTTAGTGGTTAAAGGTCAAACCATCCAAAAGGCTTAAAAGTTTTTTTTTTCACCTGAATCAAATAAAAACCAATTTTCAGTAAAGTTAGACTGACGTCTAACGTTTTGTAATACATAGAAGCATCATCTAAAAATTTTTATCGTCCGATTTGAATTGCAAATTTTTCCTGAACCGATTTTCCGATAAGTCTTTTGGGTTATTAATATTCAGAATACAAGTATGCACATATTTATTCATTTATCATGTTTCTCAGTACCGTGATAATTCATTAAGTTTTTTTTTAAATTTTGATTTGTTTTTTCAATTCGACTTAGGTCATGTTCGTTGAAAATGTTGAATTCCATTTGAGAACATTATCTAACAATGGGTCTTTACATGAGTTATTCATCATTAGCGAAAAAAAATGTTGCACATTGAAACATATTGAGAAAATGTATTGTTCTTTCAAGAAACGACATTTCTCATTTCGCCTGTTTAGTCATGCGAATTTTGTATTGAAAAATTGCTCATTCGACAATGAAAATCAAAATGTGATGGCGGTTACTTTCGAAGCTAAAGATAATTAAATGTAGACAAACTAAACCTATTGATTACATTTTTTAATATTTGCTTTTCATTATAGTTGTGGGATACCCAAAAAGGCTGAACTAAACTTTGGTTTCCGCCTTAGTAGTTTTGGCCAATCGGTACCTATTCTACACCGGAAAATGTATACTTCTTATTGAGATTTTGTTTTGCATGTAATAATTATGCTAGAGAAACCCCGATTTTTGCGAATGCCTAAGGATAAAAACGATTTTTTGGAAAAAAATGGTTTATGGCAATTGGCAAGACATATTGCAACAAAAAAGAAACAAATTTTTAGGACGAAAACTCAATTTGCGAAAGGTTAACAACTTAACATCACAGCGAAGAGAGACATAGAAAATAGATAGTGAAAAACATGAGGCAATAGATGTAAATTGTGCACTTCATAACACCGAGCAAAATGTGAAGAAAACAACAAATCGAAGGAAAAACCGGGAGCTCGGTCGCCGAAAATCAACACAATACAGTTAGACGCAGAGAACGAAGGACTCGCATTGGCGCACATATTCGCGTTTCACCATACGCGTTCAAAACCATCAAATTCCGTTATTTCGCAATATGTGCACATATTTGGCCATTTTCCCGTTTTTTTACGGCGAAGTGCAAAAAAAAAAACAAATAAAAAACAGAAAATAATCGGCAACCCTTTAATTCTTGCTCAATTTAAAAGTCACTTTGGATTTTCAAATATTTGTAGTGGTTAAATAATAGTTGGCATAGTGTAATATAGTAAATTTACTGTTCGCAAATTTAATGTTGTGCAGACTATTTGCATTGTTAAGCGTATTGACAAATAGTTACAAACAACAGGAAAAGCTACGCCGAGAAACGTATTATATCAATCGAACGATTTAAGGTGGAATTTATAGCCTCCCGAAATTATCTCGCGTCTAAAAAAATGTCAAAAAGCAAATTACAACAATTTTATCATACCCCTATCAAAAAATCTGATTGTGCAAACAATCATCATTTCAGAATCTACGAACTAGTATAGTCCAATGTTCTAATGCATTTATATTTTGTAATATTCAATCTGATACAAAAGGAGACAAGAAATAAGATAAACCAAATTAAAGGAGTAGTTTTTTTTTTCTTTCAAAAAGTATCTATTTTTTCGCATTGCTCTACTTTGAAAAGAAGAGCATCAGGAAAAAAGATACGCGTCATCATTTCAACTTGGGCGTCTTTCCTTGAAACATTTGAAAATAGAGACATACATACATTTGCAAATATAAAAAGGGAAAAGTACATACATGCATGATTTCAAAGAAAACATCACTGGAATAAATTAATTAATATCACAATAACGTGTTTTCATTCTTGCTTTTTTGAGATCACGAAAAAAGACTTGATGATGGTCACGAGTCGATGCATGCGAAACTAGAAGATTCGAGAATTCGAGCCTCTTCTTGTGGTCTCATCCATGACACTGCTGGCGCGCTCAGCTGGCTATCTCTTCGTATTTTCGAGTTTGATGAGTTCACCGGCTTCGAGCAATAAAATGAGCCCTGCAAGCGATGCTAATTCATTATTGGAATATTTTTCAGGATCACGTACGCAAACATCCAATTGGTCCAAATCGATACTAAGGTCGATTAACGGTGGGTCATGCTCAAGGAAATCTGTAAAATGCCATGGGAATATAGGCAGTGTCGCCGGAGCAATCCCAGAAAGTGCTTGATCGATTGTTTTGTCCCAATTAATTTGATCTAAATATTACTATTTTTTTATTCGTTTGACGCCGTATTGTTCTACTTATAAGATTATCGGACATTCCCACCCTTCGACACACAGTGCTGATTAAACCACCAACAGACAACCGACGACCCCCGAGCCAAACTGTTATCTGTAATTCCGAACAATATAATGCGGAATAGAAACGGTTTCGTCATACTCCTTTAACATTTGTGACCTGTCGTCCTGCATAATGCACTAATCGGAAAACGTCGGCGAGTTGCTCTACTAAAGCTGTAGTCAACCATAAACCAATTGTGATGTAAACCAAAGTTGGCAAAAGGAAATCCATACGCCTCAAATAAAAAAATATGGAAAGAATAGCTAGAATTTACAAACCTAGGTACAATATCTCCAAGCCCGATGGTTGTCAGACTCCTGAAAATATTTAAAGTTTAAAATTTAAAGTGCATCAAACAATCGTTATTGTGTTTCCTTATTTTTTTAACGGTAAATTCGTTGAAACTGCGTTTTTTTTTAAATCAGAATATCGTATTGACGGTTTGAACTTTGATTGGTACTCAAATTAAATTAGCCCTCTCATTTTTAACACAATGTTTGTATTTTAAACACTGAAGGCAAATGTTTGCCAATTATGTGTAGTTGCGTTTTGCCTCATTTCTACATATATCAGCAAAGAGTATTCAAGAAAAAATAATGAAAGTTGATCAACTTACATATATGAAAAATATACACTATCGAAATAAGTGAGCTGATCTTCCCATAATGGGATTACTGCAGAGCCTATAGCAATGAAAACGACAAAGAGTAAGGCGACAAGGAAAACCTGAATATTAATTTATGGATACAAATTGGAAATGAAGTTGAGTTCCGACTTCTCCTAATTCCCGTAAAAACCTTTGTTCGCCTTGTTTTTTCAGCTCTTTTTTGTACAACTTTTGAACTGTCGCCATAATAGCTAAACTATGTTGTTGTTTTTTTTTTGCATTTGTTAAAAATCTGACCGGTTTTTGAAAATCTTCCAAGATCTGCAATTGTAATAAGGAATAGAGGGATTCCAAATGCTCCATAGATCATTGTAAAAATTTTGCATTCTTGTGTGGATGGTGTCACATTTCCGTAACCTCAAGAATAGCGGATTACAATGGGAGGCACGGCAAAACAAAACCAACCAATTGTTGTTAATATTGTAAAAGAGAAGAGTACGCTTGCTGGAAACGTCCATCGTTTTTGCACAACCTCAAAATAATTGATTATTGTTTTGACGATACCTAGTACATACTTGTAGTGGTTCATTGTAGATTAAATAGTTGTCGAGCGAAATATGGAGGTATGATATATTTTGAAGAAATGATCGAAGAAACATATCAATATCCTCCGCCTGCCAACATTTTTAAATGTATTATTCGATTGCAGCATTTTCCCACAATACCACACATTCGTACCAAAAAAAAGTTCAAGAATACGTGAGCTTGTGTAAATATTGAGTTTCTTGAAAAAAAAGACGACTTCGTGTAGCATAAATAGTAAATGGAATAATTTGCAAAAAAAAAACTATCAGAAAAATTTTTTTGGATGAACACTAAAAATTGAAAAAAAATAAATCGCAACGTTTTTTGGTGCATTCAATTCGTCTTTCGAAATTTATCAAGTTCTTTATATTCAACGTTTAAAATTCTCACCCTCTCGGTCGATGCCAATTTCGCGATGACATCTTTTTTTAACTGCAACACTTGCTCTCTGTAAAGCATCTCGTTTATAACGAATAATATTTCATAATTGCGTGACGGCGAAAAAAATTCTGACCTTTGTGTCTCATGAAGAAATGTCTCATTATCACCTTCCATGTAATGAAAAACGTAGGCGCCGACCAACACGTACAGAATTACGAAGCAATAAAGGGCCAAATGTGCAGAAGCAATCCGAATCACATTACGAACTTTCATCCAGACACGTTTAGCTGAAGTAATTTAGTGTTAAAATCAAAGCAAAGATCTCATGAATAGACTATTCTAGTATTACTCGACCTATATTACCACGAGAGGAAGGAAACGAATTACGTTCGCGAACTTCTGATTTATGAAAGTACTGCTTTTTTCAAAACAAAATATAAAGCCATTATAGGAAAAATATATGTAAGCTCATTTGAATACAAATGTGTTCAGAAGCAAGCCAAATCTACGTATTCATTAGATAGAAATCGATATCGGTAATCTCTATTGAAAAATTGTAATTTAAACCCACCCATGCTTGTGGTGCCAGATATGTCAGTTTTTGATTTATTGAAACAACAAACGATTGTTTTGAGCGAAATGAGCAATAGATTTAACTCGGTGGCACAAACAGCAGGATACTATCTCTGTGTTGTTGTTATTTTCTTAGTTGTTCCCGATAGTTACATCGTTATAGGTGATCAATTTTCGTTCAAGTAGGTCTGTTGATTGGAATGAGATTTTTAAGTAAGAAAAAATGGAATGCAGGAAAGATTGGTTTGTGAGCAGAAAAAAAAATGCACGCAATAATATGAAAATGGGGGTTGCACTGTTTTTTATGGCACAAATTTCAAACGTTTTATGACTCGCGACTCAAGAAAAATGCTGGTTTTAGGAAAAGCCTAACAACTCTTCCGGACAGCAGATCTACTCGAAAACGAAGCGTTCAACTCAATGGTCAATGCTTAACCAAGCCTATTTCCGGTTGGAAATTGCTCATACCGGCGTATTTGTTGCAGCGAATTACGGTGGAATTGCTTGTGGTTCGCTGCGTAATTGACGCCTTACGCGTTTCCGTCGTTGATTTGAATGGCATCTGGTCGTTGATTATCACCGGATTCAATCCGGCGACATAGAAATTGATCGAATGATTTTGGTCTGAGAGGACACTGGACTCGACGCCTACACTGATGATATTTGAATGTTCACACGATAGAATGTAAACTGAGTCGTGCCACACATATTCTCCGGAAGGAAAATGGAACCTCATCGAGCCGCCCTGAGTGTTGATGGCTTCGCCATTGTTGTTTTAGTTCGTTTATTAATCTAGAAAGGCGCTATGAATGAAACAAAAACAGGGAAAAATGAATTACTAGTTTGCCACCATTTACTTGAAAGCCTTGTTCTTTAAAGGTCAAAGAAGAGAGTTCGTACTACAAACACTATATGTTTTTTACGAAATTCGTTCCAGAAAAAATGAGGGAATAGCAAACAAAAACATGTATTTTGAAGGATTATTTTGATCCTTGAAATTCTGTTCATAACGGGTTAGAGTATCATTTCATATTTTCTGAACGTCAAAAACCACACAATTTCCAACTTTTTGGAATCACACAACAGTTACGCATAATGAAACAAGAAAATGGCCCGTAATAGAATAAATATGCTCATTTATAATTTCCTTGATCGGCTTTATTTTTCCAACAAAAAACCAAAACTATAATAAAATGAATGAACAGTCAAACAAGAAAACATTCGAAGGAAGTCAAATGATTTGACGGAAATACTTTGCCATTCTAATTGCGTCCTCTTCTTTGCGGAAAAAAAATGAATTTGTGAAGCTTTAGTCAAACAAGATAATTAAATTCTCATAAGAAAAGCAAGCAGTCATAGTAACTGTAATTCTAGTTTTTCATATCAGCATTTATGTTTATGCCACATTAGGTAAAAAAATCATTATTATATTTTTATTGAGATTTCTTTACAATTGAATTATTTCGCCGTCTTTAACCGATAAACACAATTATTTTTTCATATAATTTTCAACTATTTCAGAGCAAAGAATATTGAGATTTTTGCAACAAAAAATACGAAAGAATGACTTTTACTTTTAAAAAAAGTATGGTTTGCACTCTATTCCAGAGTTCAATCATTCCAAAAAACTGCCGTTATAATCTTGAAAAATCACTGGGATTAGTTTTTTTCTGCTATGCAACATTGAAAATCTTGACAATTCTTCAATTAGACCAAAACTCTCCTTTTAGATGAATCTACTGCTTTGCATGAATAGAAAAATATAAAAAAATCACTGAGGCAATGTTGAGGAAAATTGAAAAAGGTTGTGAAATTCATTGGGATGTGCTCATAAAACATTGCATTTCGGTTGGTTCTCTTATTCTGCGCAGCACAAAGCAACTTATGCAAAAAATTTAAGATTTTTGATAAATAATAAAAAAAAATTACCGATATTTAATAGGAAATCCATTGGACGAATATAGAATATTTAATAATGCTAATATTAGGTTAGAGTGTTATTCAGTTAAAACTGTGACTATGAATAAATATAACAAATGGGAAAAATACACAAATTGAAGGCTGACAAAAGGGAATTTTTAAACAGTTGACATTTTACCTCAATTGTCTTTTGGATTGCAATTTTTCATAATTTATGCGAATTTTTAGGAAAAAAAAATAAAGTCACATTTGTGAACAAAAACGAGAATAGGAAAAAATTTTTCATTAAACGTGAATGCTTAGAAATCTAGTATTCTATTTTACGATGCCGTTAAAGTCCAACATGAACATTACAAGTAAAACTTTTCGCACTTTTTACAAATAATTTGAAAATGGATTTTCTGAAACATAAACAAATAATCAAAAAAATAGCATACATTTATGTTTATGACGTCCTGGATTGAGAGGAGTCGTGATGGGCAGATCTTGAAATACCATTTCCTCGCGGTGAAAGGCAATGCGCCTTTCCAGAGCGAATTTCGGTACGTAATCCAGCTTGTTGACAATGAATCCTCTTCTTTTTCTATTTCTGGTTCTTATTTCTCGCGGATTCGAAATTTGTCTCCAAACAAAAAAAACTTGGGAACCACACAAAAATGTATGCCTTAATTGCATTGAACTCGAGTAACAAAGAATACGACTCGAAAGTAAGTGAATAGCATTAGAAATACTCCTTAATCAAGAGAGGTGTCTCACGGGAAAGCGGAAGAAGAGCTAGCTCATCGTGACGATTTGATTACAATGTGTAGTGATTGAGCAAATGATGGTTTCTGGTGCTTTTCGGCAATAAACTCAGCACAAACAATAATTGTCTCCTGGAAAGCAGTCATTTCAACTTTGTTGGTGTTGCTGCTTTTTTTAATATAATTTTATAAAACAAATCAGAAATATTTAAAAGCATTTATTCATACAGCGTTACTAATAATGCATTTTAATAAGAGAAAATTTACAAACTGCTAAATTTATTGTTTGAAATAGATGATTTAACGTGATAATGTATATTACAATTATATCACAATTTTAGCATTATTATTATTATTATCGGCTTTATTGAATTGTTCTAACTGTCAGTTTTCCTTAATAGAACGAAGACGCGTTGTTTGCTGCAATTGGGTATTCATATTTCGATCATTTTTTCTTTTAACCGTTCCTTCAATCTGAAAGTGGTTATCAAGAGTTAAATATTTAAAAAAGAAATTACCAAATTAGGTTATTCTTTTAAGCGGAACGATTCATCATCCAATTATTCAAATTATTTTGTAGATTAACGGCAAACGTTGGTAACGGACGGGGGAAAATTCATCCTACAAATTCTTAAAAATAAACTAAGCAATTTCCGATTTTTTCAAACCGTTCATTATTCACATTTAGAAGCTTGCCCGCAAACAGCCCACCACACTTTTGCATTCAGAATTTGAACACGATCAATATATGTATAAATATAATCTTCAATGTTATATAAATTTACATTGTTAAATTGAAAAGAATTTTTTTCCACCGAAATGAATCCCTTTTTTTTTCTAATTGAAAACATAAAAATGCATTTTTTTTTCTATCACTTTGGGTGTGATAAACTATCATTCGACCTTCAAAAAGAAAGATCGCCGATAAAAAATGGCTGGGAAAATGAAGCCCATTAAAATTTAGTAGTGTTATTTTGAACGATGCAAATTTTCTATTAATGTCTTGAATTTTTCCACATTTCGTATCTGTTGCTTAGAATTTATGGCTGTACACTTGATATTGTAAGAGTGGAAAGTGAATTTTAATTTATTGTTCACACTTCCAACGCCAACATTCATCTCATTTATCCTTCATTGGCATGCATGATAACTGGTTATCGATTTTTTTCTTCATATGCATTTCACACTTCACACGTTGTTGTTTGTATAATGTTTTGACTGTATTTCTAGAACATATTATTTTCATTAATATTTCTTGCTTGTCCCAATTTTGCTACTCGGGAAAGAACATTGAAAAATTCGGTTTAAACCGGATTTTTAAATACAAAAATCAACACCCAATGTCCATGTAAGTGCATAGAAAATCGAATTTCATTGGTGGGAATCAATGCATTGTCCTAGAGTATATTGAATTCCGCGCGTCAGAGCAAAAAAAAAAGAACATCGTGAGAGTTGAAACGGAAGCACCGCATAATGCAGGCAGCAAACGGAGAACACAGAAAAAAATCACGGAAAAAATTAAACAAACATGCATGCATGTTTCCTTAGCGCTCACTGACCGTTTCATATCGGCTGTTTTGACGTGTTTATCTAGCACGATTTCTACGAGAAAAAAAACGCGGGCTTTTTTAAAATTTTTATCTCAAAATAAATCAGTTTTTTTGATGTTCTTTTTTTGTATTCTTCCATTCTTTTCTTACTATTTTTTATTTATTTTTTTTACTATTTAATAAAGTATGCCGAACCACTCAGAGGGAATGTTGTGTTCGTCATAAAGAAGCAAACATTACATTTTGCCGTCTTATGCATGCCAATTCCACCACTGTTTCGTCCCACAGTAATTTTTTTAAAATCAATGTGTAGCAGTCTTTCTCTTCTCAAAGTGTAGCATGTATTTTTATATTATTTACTACCAGAATTATTTTTAAAAAAATATGCATTATTTATGAATAACTCCAGATTAAATATAATCTATCTGTTTTCAGTTTTGTCAATTTTCAAAATCTAAGTTGTGAGGGACGATTATCTTTTTTTAGGATTTCCTATTGATTTTTGTTTTTTACACGAAGAGCAACTGATCAAATACAAATGGCAGCCAAAAACTAATGGACCCAGAACGAAAAGCTTTTTCATTGGGTGCCTGTGCCAAATTTTCATGACAATTACACGATTATAGTTTGTATTTTGAATGGATTATGATAATTTCTATGTAAATAAATAAGGGAACACAATGAAACATGGTCCCATTAAAAATAATTTTTCGAATGTTTAACTTTTTAGAATTTCTTTGAATAACGTGAAGGTCTTTATTTTAATAAACAATAATCATTTTTGCAAGTCATGAAAGATAACTTCCTCTCTGACATATTTCTCGCAACAGTATCTGGAATTTCAAGCTATTTTGCGTTTTATTGATTATTCTTCAAATGTTTTCCTATTCTTCCATTCTGATTTATCATTTATTTCAAATCGCCTCACATTTCCCTAAATTTAACTTTATTCGTTTCAGGCAATTTGGTGTGTACTACGCCATCCAAATTGCATACATTTCAAAACTTTTGTGTGTGTGTGAGTCGACGCGCATTTTGTTGCGTGTGTTGTGGCTCCAAAAGCGACTCAAGCTTCTAACATAAAAGCTAGAAGATCAATGCGCACATGGAAGAAAGAGAGACGAGAATGGAAACGCAAAAAAAAAACGAGCAGTGACCGTCATACATTCGCGGGTCATTTTTTATGTCTTTTGGGTTTTCTCGCGAAAGAAAATGGCTGCAATCAGATAAATAACGATTTAATTCAGCGATAATTCTTGCCCAATTAGGATGGGTCAATGTATAATGTTTATATACTTGTTTATGCTCAAACGCGATTCTTCTGACTGCCTGATGAGCTTTTTCGTTATCTTTTTCGGACATCAAGAGGGACGAAAATAGAGAGCACGCATATTTAACCAAGCTTTTGGTTCATATGCATTTTGGATTGTTGTTCCTTTCCAACTCGTTTCTCCTGTTTAGGCAAACATTTTACTATTAAAATATAAGGCCATAAACATGCGAATATACTGTTTTCATTTGACGAAAAAAAGCTAATCATAGGACCAAATAAAATTTTCAATAACACTGACAAGATTAAAATTTGCATATTGAATTTCATTTCAACCGAAGTTCATGATCCATTTTTGTTTATTTTTTTTTTCAATTTAATTATTTTCGTTCTGCTCAATCGCTACTGAGAAAAAAAAACTAAAATAATATATTAAATTCTTTCTATCATGAATTCGGGAAAAAATCGGATTAAGGGTTGCCCATCTCATTCATGAGCACTTTTCTTTCTTTTTATTTCGCTGCTCTTTTCATTTTTTTTTGCTTTTCAAAGCATGGGCTTTTGAACGTTTTCATAATTCCCATATATATTCACGAATGAGCTGGCTTTTTGAACTAGTTTATCGATGCTAATCCTTCTTCCATTTTATGACTTTTCCCTATACAAATATTCATCGATAGGTATGCATATATGTTTGATATTCAATATATGTACATTCTTAAATCGCAATTCTTTGATTGAAATTTTTGCGAATTTTTACTGAAACTAATTATGGTATTTTTCGTTTAAAAAATATATCGAAGAATTGATATAAGCGTACATTTAAAAAATTTTTCGTTAAGAACTTATTGACGTTGCAAAGATTCACAATAAAACACGATTGATTTTTTCACACGCATTCCCTCAAGCATCATTCATTATTTTATTCTTGCATTTTTTGTGATTCTGAATTCCTAAAAAAGTTGAAAACAAAGCCCTCCCAACGAAAAATACGGTTAAAAAAAACTTATCAACAACAAAGTCCAAAAAAATCGACGAAAAATGATTTCATATTTCATTTTGTAAATTAAATATTTCGAGACTCTTCCAATTTCCCACTTATTTTAAATAGATTCATAAAGAACCTCATATATTTACAATAAATAGAATATCATATACATGAAAACATTTTGACCCTAAATGTTCCTTTTGTTTCGTCCGCTAAAAAAACATAAAACACGCTTGAAATGAGTAATTTGGCTACACGGCATCCACATAAATTAACAAGATCTTTTCCATTTTGGCCTCTTCTGCTAATTGTCAGGCTTGCAACAATTGTTCGTTCGTCCTGTTCATGCTGGCAAATTACATTTGAATGGCTACACAAATCCTCCGACTTTGATTACATAATCCAAATTTTCCAATTAGTGCGTTTTAGCAAAAATGGATTAGAAATCGCGAGTTGTTGATGCCTCGAGAGGATTAGACGCAAACGAAAGAATCATCATTCACAAGACAGCACGGTTGTGTGCTTTTCCGCCGACAAAAATGCATTGTCGCGCGATCATTTTTTTTTCTTGTTATTCAACAAAATCTGTTTCGAAATGTTTGAGAATGCGCACATAACCTGCTCAAAAACAATAGGCAAATTTTTCAGTAGGTTAGGTCGCGTTTTTCGTTGACACGATATTTGATTTCCATTGCATAAATGTGTGGGAAAAAACGCTGTCCAGAAAATCTAGACAATGTACTTTCTACTAAAATGTCATGTTACATTCATGGACAAACAAATTAGAGATCGCATTTCATTAATTCTTCACTCAATTTTTGTTGTTTTCGCTCTATCCAATCATGTATATATCACGTTTTTGAAATTGTCAATTCGCCATTCAAATCGTTTTCAAATCCCTTACATTCGTTTGTTGTTAAATTATATATTGAAGCTTCTTTTTTTGTTCCTCTTCTGCTTCTTTTTCGGCGAGACTAACTCGACTCTCGTTTGGCACATCAATGTACAATTTGTCGGGTTTTTGTCGCGCGCAATATCATCGGGCAAATTTTAATATTTACACCAAAAATTCATGAGAGAAAAATTAGCAAAAAAAACATTTCGTTCTTTGACATAGATGTCTTAATTTCGTTTTGATGGAAATTACAATAATATTCTTAAAATGTATATTTATGAAAACCGTTTCACTTCATCTATTCTTCATTCAGTTGCAATAATATGCAAGATATCGTATGCATTTTGAAGAAGTGATTTGGAGGTGTAAAATTGAGAAATACTAAAATGTCGACGATTCAAATAATCGATATTTAATGGCGAGAATTTTTTTCGGCTTTGATGAGTTTGCACGTGTTTATCTTCTTCAAGTTTTTTTCTAATATGTAGTGCCTCAACTTAAACATTTTGTTTATTGATTTTCTTCTACATATACTGAGTTTGAAGTTACATTTCTTATCGCAACTTCAAAATTTTGGCAAAAGAAGACAAAAAATGTAGAAATGCGATTTCGAGAGATAATTATATAGACACGCTAGGCAAAAAGAACCTGCTATTTTAAATGCACCGCACAAAGTTTCATCTGAACTTTTATTCTGTGTTCACGTCAGGCATTACATCTTTAATATTCGAATGTTTCTTTTTGAAACATCGGCTTCGAGTTTTTAAAAACTTATTTTATTCGCAATAGTTCGATTGTAGTATCTTTTCAAGGACACAGGAGTTTTCATACGCTTAAATTCAATTATTCTTTAAGTGCCAATTTTTTTTTGAAATAGCAGTCAGATTTTCTCAGCTTTTGGTAATGGAAAAAAGCCACTCTTTTCGTCGATTTCTTCACGAAGAGCATTTGCGCAATCTTTTTTTTTGGTCTAAACGTGTTTGGTTTTGAGCGAAGAGCTTCTAGCTTAATTATTCAACCACTTCGGCTCTATGTACTTTTTCTTCGATAAAACAAAAATACCCCAAGCCGTACAGCCCAAGCAGAGAAACATCATCGTGCAACAAAATGAACTTGCATAATTGCCGGTAACTAATTCGTATTTTCGAGCGACCGCCTACCGCATACAAAAAAAGCTGGCCCGGCGTATATCGAGAAAAGAAGGATGAGACCAAATTGCAAAGCGGGAGTAACGCAACGGGGCAAAAAAGCATCTGGAAGTAGGTCGAATTTGCAAGTCATTTTACGATGAATTTAATGAATTCACGATGATGTGACACTGCCCCGACTTCTTCATATTGTTCCTTCGAATCGTATCGTTTTTCGATAAATTACATGTTATTCTAATTTCATTCATTACATTTTGCATATTTTGTACTTGGAAGATTGGGTGTAAATTTTTCAAATCCCTGGAGAACAATAGAGGTTTTTTTTTGCAAAACAGTACAAATGTTATGTTTTAGGCTTAAGCTTCTCACTTCTTTTTTACGAGCTCAAAAATTTTTCTTGTCTTTTTTTTGAAAAATCGAGCTACCTGAACAACGCGCTCTCTAAAAAAAATCAAAGAGCATTCATTTTGAGCATTTCTTTTCTAGGACTCCGAAAGTGGAGGCCAATTTCTGGTCGTAAAAAAAGAATGTGTGTTTGCCTATGTGAGTGTGAGGCTTAATTAAAATGTCGACTCATGCTTGTGTCATTATTCGTCTCTCTTCTCTTTTGTTTTTCACTCATTTCATTGCCATGTTTTTTTCGTTTAAGCTCAACGAAATTGATAGTCCCAATTTTGGCGAACAACAGTGAAATTACGGCAACGAATGCTTGAAGCGTGTCCAAAATCGATTAAAAGCGCCTACGGCTTGAAAAACATATTGTGAAATTCTCCTACTATTTGGAATGAATTCACAATAAAATGTTGAAAATAGATTATTTTAGTTCCCGTTTTTTCACAATCCTACAAGAAATTTTCATACTAATTTACAATTTCATTCCTTATATGTATATATTTTTATCACATATTTTGTTTTCCTCGTTGTTTTCAACCGCGTTTAAGCCATATATATGTATATACATAAATATATAGGTATATATATATCATTCTACTCCCTACTGCCAGAGAGTATTTGTTTCCAGTTGATGCAAATTTTGTTTTATTTTGCAATTTGAAGATTTTTCTATTCTGATAAATTAGTTAAATTGGAATTTTCAGGACCTGGAGGGTATCACAAATAAGGTGTTTGAAATGCAGGCTGCGCCTCTGTCTTGTTATAGCAGCATGGTCGCCAGCACCTCCGACGAAGGGACATCCAGTTTGAAACAGTGAGATTTTCAATAATCCACATTTTCTTCTTTTTGTTGTGTATTCTCCAAAAGAAACCTTGGACCTAAAAAAACATAGACATTACACTTTTTGCGTCAAATGAAAATCTCTAGAGACACCACGCATTTCTGGGAAAACTCCGGCGAATTGAAACATTTGAAAAGTGTGAAAACCGAAGAAAAATAAGACAAACACATCAACTTCCGTGTTCTCATTTGTCGCATAATCAAGTATGAATGGCAATTTTGAAAAGGTTCATTGAGTAGAGATGAACCCGCGCAGAAATTATTAATAATTCTTGAGGCTACCAACCTGAATAGAAAGTCACAACAACACGCACATGTTTAAAGCTAGTACACATCAATTAGAACATGCTTTGCAGGTCTACTTGTTCTACAAGCAGCAAACAGTTTATTGAAGCACCTGCGTTTTTTTACGACATGGATACAGATTTGAAGGATTTAAAAGTAAGTTCAACGAAAAGCAATACTTTTTTTCTCGAAAACCTTTCATTCAATAATATCACGAACAAACGCAAGGTGAAGCCATTCATTTTGAAATTTATTTTCAGACTGCCTTAAAAGGTGCCGATTTGCTGAATGATTCTGGATATCAATCGGTTCTCGAACGCTCCCGCCATCCTTTTTCTATCAGCTTCGTTCTCAATGAAGACAATGTTTTCGATTCCGAAGATGATGCCTCCGACGAGCACTGGGGTTTGTTTTTCTCGTTGTTCAATGCCAAAACAACAATATCGTATTGCATAGTATTGTGCGATATTTGTTTTGAGGGATTAGGCAAAGTAGCAGCATGAAACTATAATAGCGCAAGTATTATAAAGTAATAGTCTTTCCCTATATGATGATGATGATGATGATGACGGCGATGAATGTGGTGGCAGGCGTAGTTAGTTACTGTATGCAAAGTTTCAAGCTGCCTTACGCATGATTCCGCCATTACTTCAATGGAGAAATTGGAGAAAACTAGGCAATCACTTTTTTGCGTTTTGCGTTTTGCGTTTTGTTTCTGAATTTAAGAAAATTGCAGATGGCTATTTAACAGTTGGACCTGATAGAGTCAAAATCAAGGATATGTCAGATATTCTAGCCACGAGATACGCATTCCTTTCTGGTAATAACGAAATGAATTTTCTTCCATAATTTGCATATATAAAATCAGGTTCTCGTACTCCTGAAGGGTTGACCATTGTCACATTTCCTGACGCAAGATCAAATCTTTCGTTTGAAGACTATTCTCTGCTAATCACTTATTTGCTGCAAGTGCCTCCGTGAGTTATTGCTTCCTTCACTTCTCGTTGTAAAGATTTCACAATATATCACGAAAACGAGGAACCAATTTACATAAGTGCTCATAAAAATATGTTACGTTTGTAGGAGGAGTGAAGTGTGCGAAGCAATTTTTTTTTAGTCTCAAATATTGTGGAGAGCAAATATGTTCACTTGCCTTTCTCCCAATGTATATTTCAGTCAAAATCATTTCTTTTCAGCCTCGAAGACAGTCATCAGGGATTTGCGCTGATAATCGATCGTCGAAGCGACAAGTGGTCGGCGGTACGAACAGTTTTACTCCAAATAACGGTACGGGTTTTCAAAATTGGCCTACGTCAAGTTTTGCGTGCCGTGCAGAAATTTTTTGACGTGTGAAAATGCGGCAGTGTCAATTTTGAACTGAGCGCCGAACACAATACATTATGCAGATATCACAGACCGGAATGCCGGGTTTGATATTTACCATCACGTAAATTGATCGATTATAGTTTAATGCGCAATTCAATGCGTGTTTTTCACATCATTTGAATATTGGTAACGTGAAATTCAATACTTTTTTCGAATGCTTTCGCCCTCATATTATGCAGTATTAGTACTAAATCTTGCATATTTTGCAGTAAACACGGTCTTTAAGAGATAGTTTGAACAAAAACGTTTTGTTTCGTCTTTTTTGTTTTCCTCTTTTTATCGCTCGCACCATTTGTCTTCTATAATCTTCGCTAAAATTGATCTGTTTGTTTATTTTGCTCTGTTTTCGGCTCAAATTTGACACAAAATCCACACATACACGCGTCGTTAAATAGGCGATAATAAATTGAGTTAACGATTTTCGGTTTTGCAGTCATATTTTCCGGGACAAATTCGCGTTGTCTTCGTCATCAAGCCCGAAGGTGTCCTACAAAGAGCGCTCGAAGTTGGATATCGCGGAATAGCGGATACGTGCCCGTTCAAGGTTATTCACGTTTTTTTTTCGACTATGTCGTGCCTCATTTTGAACAGCAAATGACAAAATATCTGAAGTATTATGGACTGCAAAGGGATTTTTCTATAATCAGTTTTAAAGATTGGTAAAAGTATTAACAATGTTTTATACACGTTTATTTCGGTTAACAACTATTATTAACCGCTTTTAAAATTTTCAAGATTTTTTTTAGCATTAAGCATCTATTTCTGAATATATAATTGTATGAGTTAACAAAAAATAATAAAATCTCTTCAAAATTAATTTGTTCTGAATCAAAATACTCATTGGAATTTTATATGATTTTCCGTGATTTTTTTTCTTCAGTTGAACAAATATTCGCCATAGTTTTATATGCTTGAAGAAACCCCGTAGATAAATTTAAAATTCAGTATTTCGTCTTTTTTGGAACTTTCAAATTTGAATTCGTAATATTAATGGTTGAAATAAAATTCATTGATGCATAACTAACACCCACTTTAAACTATTGACGCATTTTTCAACTTTTTTATATTTGCAAAACGTAATTTAGCGGTTCATAAAGTAAGTGAAATTATAATCGGTTAGTTTTTTTTCAAAGGTTTTTTCATTGCTTGAAATGTATTTAATTAACAATAGGACATTGTGCCATACTGCCCATTCGTCCGGAAATTATTGCCATTCCTTTCCTTAATTGGCGGTCACAGCAACCACCAAACGTTATTCGCGGCGCGTGGTCGTTTCGTTTTTTACTAAAGCGTCAAATACGCTATACGGACGCCCGAAAAGAGGAAAAAACTGAAAAGTTTTAATGATGAATATGAATTGTCGGGCATGCTGACGGCCGATCGATTTCCCTTTCTTACAAAAAACATGCCTGTCACCGAGAATATAATGAATTGATAAGGATAATATATCGAAACCAATTATTTTAAACACTTTGGTCGCGGGGATATCAAAAACCGTTGCCGATAACGGTGTAAAGCAAAAAAAATCATCAATCAAACGGATTTTCACACTTATTCGTGTTTCCGAACGATTAAAGCAACCTTAAAAACCGCTATTAAACTTTAACGCAGTTTCACACTATCAATGCTAATGGGAAGCGTTGACTGTGAAAAAACATGTGAAACCATTTGTATTTTCTCATTTTTCGATTCTGTGTTCCGATATAAAAATATTAATTGTCGCTGCGACCTTAAAAGACTGTTTTCCAGGTGGTCCAATTGGAAACGGCATTCGATTTGCGCAATTACATCCCGTTGAAGCAAGTAACAATGGATGTTGGTGGGCTCATCAAGTACAACCATCTCGAATGGGTTCAGCACCGAATGGTAAGTAACTTTCGTGCATACTTTTCACATTCAAGTGGGTGAATGGCAATGCGCCAAGTGGCCGTATATGTGTTTTGAATATACATCAGAAGAACAAGGCATAAGCTTAACGAGGGACAGGTGAGAAGAAAGGTGTGGCCAGGTGACCGGCTTGCCTCAATTTGGTGTCTCCTCATAGCCTTCGCGCGCTGAAAGCGTTGTCTGCGGCACTGTTCTTCATTTTTTGGATTGCAAACGCTTGTACATTCATCATTTGAGCCAAAAAGTACATTCCCCGTCTGTTATTCAATTTTTGCTTTTCAACCAAAAAGTCGATATTGTTTGTTGAAATCGAACACCTACCTCTAGCGGCCCCGTCGCGGCTGTCCGGCTACAGTATTTGGCGTAGAACCGCCTCATTGGCGCGATAATTCCCGCTGGAGACTTATTGCGTCGAGACAAGCTTTTCGGATTGTCGTCGCATTCCTGAAGAATTGACAAGCCTTTGTGCCTGACGCTCGGACCCCCCATTCGTGAGCTATATAAATCAGTCGACCATAGCAACGATTGGCTTCGCCGCTGCTTAATTTTCTGCCAACATATACGAATGGCAGCCATGCTCCAAATTATAAATTTTTGGAGACCCTATTCAACACTTGTTAATGAAAAAGATAATGATCCCTACACAGAGGTTTGTTACAACTATTTTCCAACAAAAATAAGGCTTGTTTTATTTTAATTGCATCTATTGAAAACAAATAAGAAACTATGTTCCCATGTTATTCATCCGACATGTTTACCTTGCATAGGTTGAACATAAACAAAAATCGTACAATTTCCTGTATATAAATGGACACGATTTAATATTTTGAGCATAAAATGTGTTACATAACACTCGAAAAAATAGTAGGGAAGATAAATGTATATTCGAAACACATTTCAAAGCCACAACTGTTCTCATTGTGACCATAATGTTCTAATTTTCAGGACATCGAACGTATGAAATCTTCTGCGAACGCGATAGCAACATCTTTAAGTGATTTTGGACGAATGCTTCGAGAAACCGAATTACCGAACGACGTGGAAACGACAGCGAGAATTCTTGAAGCACAAACAGCCGAGAAGGACGCCATTAAGGTGCGTTCGTTATTTTCTTTCCTCCCGCTGCTCCGTTGACCTCATTGCTGTTTGCCGACGTAATTATCCCGTTTTCCGGAGATGGAAATTGTTTGTAAAAAAGATCACCACACTGATGGTATATGTATGCCCGCCTAAAAAACCGATAAACCGGAAACGTTCACAGAGAAAAACATTTTTCGTCGTTCTTTTAACCCACCAATAAAAGTTTTATGGTATTTTATCGTTAATGGAGATAAAAACGGAAATGTGATTTTGGCGCTTTTCATTCGAATTTGTTTCATTCTTATTGCAACAAAAAATGTATAGTTTTATTGGTTTGCGGCACGATGTGAAATTGACTGACATCATCAAGTCTCGTATTTTCAGGAAGATTTTCGTATCTCCGTTCGGAAGGGAATGTCGCTCCTACGAACAGTGCGACAGCTTGACAAAAAACCGACAGCCGAGCAGCTGTCACCGACAAGATTGCATAATGTTTCGGCAATCGAGAGGATGCTAGTTCAGCTAGGTTTTTACTAACTCAACTTTTTTTGTGAATTAAAATTTGTTTTGTGTTCAGAGGAAACCGAAAAATCGTTCGACATTTTCTGGGCACGCCATGAAAAAAGGCTAACAAATTGCTTGCAACTGCGGCAATTCGAGGAAACTTTCCGAAAGGTTTGTCATTATTCCTGCAATTATAATAATTATTGCTTTGTCACTCTGATTACACACTCTCAGTTTTCTATTGAAATATAATCAATTCCGTGAGAAATATATGTATATTGGCTTCCCGTTATTTTGCACCCCTCGTATTTGATTTTTCGTTTCGTCAGTGACAAAAAGAAACACTAGCAAAAACAGTGATTCGGTTCGAAAAATATTGTACACAAGGTGACACTTCTTCATCTTTTAATATTTGTTACCCATTGTCTCACTGGTTTGCCGTCATTCTATCGTCTTGATTTGTGAGTCTGCCTTTTCCTTCAATTCCATTGAAATATCTACTATATATACATAATAGAAGTATTGAAAAAAAAACATCAACTTTAGTGTGTGATTTGAGGAAAAAAAAAAGGGGGGGGGGGAAGGTTAAATAGCCTAAGTGTAAGAAGAGCAGATTTTTTTAGAAAGTAAAAAATTTCGGAAAAAATTGAAGCAAATATTTAGTTCATTAGACACTTTTCCGTATACAAAGGGACATTTTAATTCTAGGATTTCGAAAAAAAAAATTTTTTAACCGGTTAAAAAACTATTTAAAAATACAATGCAAACTAGCTTTTATGAGTTTTTCGAGATTTCTTCCCAAAATCTGCACAGGACAAACTCAAAAACAAAAAAATGACCATTCATTGCTCAGGTGTTCTTTCCGTGTGTTCAACAAAACAATGTGTACACATTTCAACTTCAAATCTGATCTCAAACGTATAACCTTCGATCTTTCTTTTAACCTAACCGTTACATCTGAAGAACACACCGACAAACTTTCATCAATCCTTGTTTTACATGGCTAAGTGACCTAATGTGTATTTCACCCATGTTATCTTATATCGTGATCGGCGATTATTGCGGCCCACGACTGCAGGTACATCTTTTCGTTGATTCAACATTTTTTTGATGGTGGCAATGGCACGATTTACAATCGATTGTCTTTTGTTACTCAGAACCAGTTTGATTCTGATTATCAATTACATATGCCGTTCTAGATATAAACGAATAGTTAGCTGCAGGGCTGCCCATTGACCAGCCAAAAAATTTTTCATCGTAATGTCTCGAAAACGCATTTAACCTTGCCGCCTTCTTTTTATTTTTATGATTTATTAGACGTTATTATGTGCGGTTACTGCGTTTTTTTTACGAAGTCATGCAGGCGGGAATAAATTGTAAATGCACAAGATTTTGTTTATTGTTAATTAGCATTCTAGAAGCCACCATTCCTACTATATACATGTAAAGTTAATCCAACAAACACTACTAAAGAAGTGTCAAATTTCGTCGTGTTAGAATTCATTCGTTAGTAAATGATTGCACAACCTTCCACTGTTCATTGCCTTTTAAAATTTGATAGTGCTTGTAGCAATGGCTCAAAACATTGTAAACTATTATCTAGTGTTCTAATTCCTTATGTATAAACAGATTGTACGATATTATGAAAACCCATTCATATTCATGACGTGCTGCCTTTGATCCGACCACATTATGACCGTCGTCAATGTACTGCAATTCGTACTGAGCTGTTCAAAGGCATACAACAATACTGGAGATTTTCATTTTCTTTTACTATTTTCCTCGATTTTTCAGCTACAAGCGGCATTTGCTCGCCATATGCTTTATTTGGAAGAACATCGAGAAGTTGGCGACAGAAGAGAAAAGGCCCTACAACTTGCTGAAATTCACGCCCAATACTCGAAGACAGCAATGGTTGGTTTATTTATAATTCATTAGTATCTGCAATATCGATAACGAAATATTAAATTTGTAAAAATTGCTTAAAAATGATAATTAAAAGTTTCCAACGACAAACTGTAAGTCATTTTTGACATTGAAATTAGAAAGCTTTCAACTAATTTATTCTTAAAATTCATATATGGAAATTGCAATGCCACGATTTGTTGTTCATTTTCTTCCGACATACAAAAAATTGAATTTTGAATACTCAAATTGCTCAAAAAGTTTATTTTTGTGCGCCAATCTGTCTAAAAATATATTTCTGCTGATATTTGATACTTAGTTTTTTTTCTTGACTCCCGAATACACTACGAAGTAAATAAAAGTCAATGGGCGGTCTTATAAATATCGTCAATATTTTGAAGATCTTCTCATTTTTTTGTTCACGAAACCGCATTGTTTAATATGTACGCACAAATCCTCTCAAGCGGTTCTTTTTATCTGTTTGTCCACCGAGTTCAAGGACTATTTAGGGTCTCGTCGGAGGTTTGATTAATTTTTTTGAAAACCCCCTAAACATTGATGTGGTATAAATTGTAAACTGTTGTTTTGCAGGACGAAGTAGAGGCTGCTCGGGAATTGAAGAAGACCGGAGAGGAACTGATATCATCAAATGAAGATGAGGTGACCAATCTTCAAAATAGCTTGGCTTGCTGACTGGCCAGCATACAAGTTTCCGCAAAACAATGAGTTTTCATTACAGCTCTGCGGAAGTTTGAAGCCAAAGTGTGAAGAGCTCGCTAGAATGGCCGATGCCCTAACCGGTGCTCTCGAGCGTCGTAGCGCTGTTCTAACTCTTAGCAGCACCATGCACGACCAAATTTCTCAGGTGAAATATTATTTATCACACTATAGCGTTTTCATTGAGAGATCGTCCGAGAAATAGGTGTCTTTTGAACACCAATCATCATTTTTTTTCGTTTAATCTCATAGTGATATTGACAGGTTTCCGACGGGCTGTCGATCGTTTTTCTAGGTTTCACGGCCGTCAACAAGAATGAGAGATATAATTTGTGATTAAAGAAAATGAGGGAGATAAATCTTTCAAGATTATATGAACGGAACTATTGATAGAAATTATTGTTTGTGAAACTCCTGGAAATGCTCGAATAAATTAACTACTTGAATTGGAAGAGAAATGAGCACTGCCAAGCAAATTTTCTAGCTTATGATCGTGAGAAAGCGAACAATTTTTTGTTGCTCATTGAATCGTGCGTCTATAAATCAAAACATCAAATTTTTTTATATATTTACACTTTATATGCTGATTTTGTAACGTGGAAATTTGAAAACAAGTTTAAACCTATTTTGGTATAGTTTTGGTAATTCTGATTTTATATAATTATTTTTATATTTTGGGTAGACTTCTATTATATTGCAGCTCAAAAAAATGTTTAATAACCAGTAGTTGTATTCAATTGATTAAAATAGGATAAAACCACGAGAAACAAAAACATGAAGGCATTTTTTTCAATAGCATTCATTATATTTCGCATTGTTCTCATATTACTTTTCTCAAATTTTAGGCGAATAAATGGTGCCGTAAGGGTGTCGACATATTGACGACTTCAATTCCGCCCGAACTAGCGACTTCCAACATTACCGCCTCAATTGGGAAAATGGACGAGTTTCTGAGTGAAGGAGAAACTCTCAAAGTAATACTTTTCTCTATTTCACGCGTGAGAGAAATATCGCAAGAAGACGAATGCCGATTGAAAAAATAAAAAGAAAAGAAGATTTAGTGGTGTTCATCCAGCTTTTTTGCAGCTCGACGCTCTTAGTGGCACCCCATCCTTGAACAATCTCATTCTTTTGACAACAACTGAAACTTCTACGTTGCTTGCCCAGGTCAGTCAGACATATGACAAGTTGAAGCTTTAAATAAAATAATTAAGTACACATTATCCGTCGTGTTTTTACTTTAATTTCTTAGTTAAAATAGCAGATGTTTGGTGATAAATCTCTTAAATCATAGCATATAAACAAGGTATATTTTATTTATTTTAAGCATTCTGACTTTTCCTAACGCTAAATTCAAACTAAATTGATATTTTTTTCAACAACTGAAATCCAATTCTCTCGAAACAATGAAGCCCACAATTTAATTATGTTAAAAAAATGTATATATGCTTCTTACTGAAAAAAATAATCGTCAACTCAATTATATCTTCAAATTTTTCATTTTCTAGTTCCAATATTTGATCGGAAATACGTAAAGTATTAACGTATTCCGGCCTAGTCTCTCAGACTAATTAAGAATCGCCGAATTCTGCGGAAGTATCAGTGCCACAACGATTATTGTACCCTCATGAGACACTAGGCAAATAAACATAATCATTCCCCAATTCCTCGTCCTTTTTTCCTGCGTTTTCATCGTAGCTCATCCGATTATCATATGCCCGCTTTTTTTTTGTTGCGCGCCTGCTCGGTGTCTTGTCGGCTCGGCTGTCGTGCTGTCAATTTTTTATTGTACATTGTAGTATTGAATTCGACATTCTGGAGGTCGTTCGTTTTACGAGGATGTAACGAATATGAGAAAACAGCTGCGAATTTTATCATCATTATACACATGTTTTTGCGTATAATAGTTGAATCAACTCTCATTTCCGACAGCGCATTTCATTTTTCAATAGATTGATAGCTTATACGTTTCGTTTTCAATTAACTTCAAATAACTGGCATCTGCAAATACGATTTTTTAAAGCGGCTAGTTATTTTTTAACAAGTCTAAGATTCTATGTTGTTTATAATCAATATTTTAGCCGCCACAGCAAAGCGATAGTTTATCCGAAAGTACTAGCGAATTGTTTGGATATATCATTAATTCAACCAATAAAATAATTCTTCCACTATAATTCTTAAATAAGATTTTTTTAAGCAAAAAATCCCTTTCATTTCTTGAGATTGGCATTAGTATAAGTGCATTTCTTTTTCAGAAACACGTTATTTTATATATATAGCGTGAACAATTTTTGTGCAATTTTTCATTCTTTTGTTTCATTCTTCTCGAATGCTACCTCTTTTCGAATTTGACGAATGAGCAATCTAGTGAAAACAGCGATTTATTAAATATTCCCAATTTGAAATTCCACTGCTCGAATTTTTAATAAAAATTAGTTTGCCAACAAACAATTAAGAAAAACTTGATGGGAAATTTAGAAGGTAATGAAAATTGTGCGTCATATTTTTGCCGACAATACTTAATTTTTTTTATTTTTCAAACAATTGAATGTCAAGCGTTTGTTTTAAAGTATGTAGATACAAATTGTCCAAACGGTGTTTTTTACGGTGTCGCGCCCTTTTTCGTAGAAATTATACGAAAACGAACTGTTTGAAATTTGTTCGAAAGGATTCAATTGAATTACCATCCCTGAATGTTTTGTACCATGATCTTTCGACATCTCCGAAGAATTCATAGAATTTTCAATTTGCGGCGTGCCCCCTCGCATGAATAGTGGTGAAAATTGAAAACGCTATGCCCCGGAATAGTTTCATGCGGCCAAAAAAAGATCTGACCCCAAAAAGGCGAGGTTTCCGATTAAAAGTTGGCTGGATGTATTTGCGTAGCGGTAGAAGAACGCAAGAAGCAATCGGATAGTTGCACTTGGGAGCTTTTAATCTTGTTTATGGAACCTTTTCCTCTCATTACATAAATGCGCCAATATTAACGATTCATTGCACGCGCTCATTTCCACACCGCCAACAATTTCGCATTAGAACAAAGAAATCGACGCTTTTCTGAATGTGAACCCATACTGAATAAATTATGTGATTACTCATAAACATTTTTCGCCGCAGTGTCGGTTCCTTCTTCCGGCGGAGGCCACTTGTCAATGCGGTTATGCTAATTCAATCAAAACTGATTATCGAAATATATTTTCCGCTAGAGACTCCCGCTGTTTTATGTGGTTTTGGATTTAGTTTTGTCCTGGACGTTTTCTTCTTCAACATCCCTAAGTTTTGGAATAATTGATCGATTTGAAGTTTTCATTAAAACGATACTTACTTGAACAAACAGAACGTGTCAAGCCTGTTTTTTAGCACTAGGGTGTGAGATCAAGAGCATAAGGTGCAAATAAATAAATAGGCTGCTGAACGAACGTTTGCCCCTCTTCGACCGTTGCAAATCTAGTCGGATGCAAATTGCGGTGATCATCTTCACTGCAATTGAACACGATCAGAGTTGCCAATGAACGCTTTCAAGCGTGTACAGAGACATTCCGAACATGCAAATGAGAATGTAAAAGCGTTCAGACGGACAGATTCCGTCATTTTGAGAGATATCATCTTATTGTTAGATTCGAATTCCATCCCGTCCGCATTACTATTTCCATTTGTGGAAATAACAAATTGGTTGGAAGCGATGAGAACGCACAGATACAAACAATTGAAGAATCAAAAACATAAAGAATACTTTGCTTTTTTCTATCTTATATTAACTGCTTCATGAAGTTTTCAATGTTTAGTATACTAAAAAGAAGCTAAAAATTGTTTCAACGAAAACGATAATTTAAAAGAACACCTTGAAGAGGTAAATACATCAAAACCATTGCATTGTTAAGTTTCCTTGATCAAATTATTCAATGCAATATCACGTGTTTGCTTTTAAGGTTTTGTTATTATTATGTTTAGACAATTGTCTTATTGTAAACTTTTTCTAGAAAACATTTTAGAATAATTATGAAAACACGAAAGAGACCCCTAATGATGCATGTTGCAGGTTGCCGAGCGCATCGACGACATTCGCCGGATGTCCGTGGCCAGAAGAGACGCGCTCGCAAAGCTTTGCGAGCAGAAAAAACCACCCGTTCAGGTAGTGACGCCTGAAAAGAAGAAAAAGAGCAAAACGGAGGTTCGTGCCTATTGTTGCCAGATAATCCGCTTAATTGAACACTCGCAACTAATTCTTTGGGTTCTTTGAGTTTATTAACAGAATCCGTTACTATTTAAGTTTCTGGATGTCCTTAAGTGTGTAATTTTTGCTCTTATTTGCTGCTGAATCAAGATTATACGCGAAAATCCTAAGAGAGTAATCCCAGAGTTGGTTCAGAGCAAACCACAGTTGAAACCGATACAAACCTTGCCAATTCTCTAATAATTTTACATTCTTCATGGAGTATGTACATTCATTATTAGGAAAATAGCTGTTTCTCACTTCAGCACTTTTCCAAAACTATGAAAAAGCAATGTGAGAAAACAACAATAGTGCAAAAGGGGGCAATTGTTGCGATGTTGCGTTTCTCACGCGCTTGTCTTTCAATATTTGAACAAAATGGCTCGGCTTGAGCTTCTTGATTGTGATATCCCTGTGATGGGAATCGATTCTCTCACGCGAGCGAACACTCAAACAGCACACCTTGTCGTATCGTTGAAGTTTTCGCGTCGATCGTTGCGATTGCAACGACTAACACGTTTTGGTCAATGTCTGTTTTTCTGAAGAAAAACCAACGCTTCAAAGAATCGCTATATATAGGTAGAGATAGTAAAATTCAGTCTAATATACCGTATAACACAAAATTAATTAGAGAACTGTCATCAATGCAAAGAAACTTCAAAAAATTTGCATTGCACAAATAAAAAAAATAAACCAAATGACGTCGAAGTATGACTTTTGACTCCTATTTCTATGCATTTGATGGAAAACATCTGGAAACACTTTGACACATTTGCCGAATGTCGCAACTACAGAAAGTCGGTGTCCATTCATCGGCGGGCATCTGCTCGCAAAAATCCCATCTGCAGTCGATTTATATCGGCTAGCAAAAAAGTGGGACGAGACGCTATTCGAATACATAAGTTAACGCCAAATTTTGCAATAAGAAATTAATGTGTTGCTGTCCAGTTATGAAATGATTAAAAATTCTTGTCATATTGAATGAGCAATGATTGCGGTACTTGTTATGCATTTAAAGGATTATCTTCATTGCCTCTTGGGAATGTAGTGATAATTGTGATAATTGAAAACATTTGAGCTCAAATTCAATTTATTTTGCCCGTTTGTGAGCATCTATAAACAATAGTTCTTTATTTTTTTCTTTCGATTTGTTCTTCTAACTTCTTCACATCTGTTAAAAAGTAACATATTTTGAGTATTTCACATTTTGTTCCATCAATGTTGAGCTTCCTCATTCCGACAATTTGTTCGAGTCATGTGTTTACAAGAAGGAGTTTTGGCAAAACAATGTGCGATGTTGTAGTGTTAATGGCTTTTGATCTATCCAGATAGAGGTGTTGTTGAATATCTCATTTTTTCACAATGCCTAGCAACGGTACGACTTGTGCGAAATCAAGGGTCTCATATTCCTGCGTACACCCTCGTCAGCCGCATCCTCTCGTTTTCTGTGATACCTCGCGCACGCGTTCACACCAGCCCGAGGCTCCTCCCAATCGCCATTTTCATTTTTGCGTGCGTCTTATTCGCGTGCACCGTCTTGTTATTATTGTGTTATTAATATTCATTAGCTGATCGCAATCTGCATTCATCATATCGAGCTCGATGAAACGCACAATTCCGAGATTCCTGTCTTTTCGACGCTCCAAACGTCGCTTGATGAATTCAGTTTCTTCTCCACTCATTGTCATGAGCAATAATGGATACACAGTGGTAGGTGTTTTTATTATTAAATATGATTGTTTTCATTACTATAACGTCATTCTGCACTCTTATCTCCTGTTCAATATTTCTCTTATACTTATTAATTTATGGCATTAAGTCCTCATTTTGAAATTTTATTTTGGTTTCACTATGATTAAGGTAAGTTTTTTTGCTATTGATACAGAACCAGTTAGATCGTTGTTTATCTTCGAGAAGTTTTGATCTGATATCATTACAAGGTTGAGCAAATATTCTTTCTCATCATTAAATTGCCAAACGCGGGAGAATGTTTGCGATAGACTAAATCCAGAACAAGAGGCGTAAAAAAAATCAAAAAAGATTGTGGAATGATGATTGGCTCACAATACAATTTCCAAACGGATGTTCATGTTTTTTCTTGATAATACATTATTTTTTGAAACAATACTCAAAATTTCGGTATAACTCGCTTTCCATAAATGTAGGGTTATCGAAAGCGAATATTTCTACGTTGGATGTTATTGTGACCTTTCTTGGACCATGCGATTATACTTAACTCACTCATATCCGATGACTCGTATCATTGACCTCCCTCAGTAATATACTAATAATATAGTTCAGCCAGTTTATGAGACTTAGATGGTATCAACAAAGAATATTTTCTCGAGTGTAACAATCCAAAGATTTTGTGTTTTTTTGCTTTTCGCCATTCAACCCAGAGATGACCCTTAGCCGATTTTTGGCAGCCAACAATTTACGTAGCTCATTTCTCGAGTACCGCAACTGCGCACGCAACATTTCGGAGCAACAGCTTGTATGTTTTGCGTATGTATGTGTAAGTGTTTCGCTGATAGGCAAAAGATTACATAGTGATGCTTCACGTAAAACGATTTCGCGTGTAATGGCCCTTCACGTGAAATGATACCGAAAACACGTTTTCGAAATGAAATCGCTAAGATGGTATTAAGCTTTAAACGCTTGTAATATTCATGCAAATTATTGTCGAAACGAGAACACCGATAGAACATTATCAGAATTTTTTACGACGCCCGCGTTGTTTGTTTTCCTTCTTTGGATCTATTTAGTTATTAATAAACAAGCGTCATCACACAGTAAGGTCATTAAAGAAAATCGATAGTTTTGAAGCAATAATTTGAAGATAATAAAGATTTTAACTGATTTCTTTTGAAATAAACGTGAGTTTAATGTCAAGTAGTATAGTATTCAGGGGTTTTCTCACTTTTCTCGTTGTAGAATTGACAATGCTTTAATTCACCATTTGAGGTATCACGAAAACAAAATAAACGAATAACCTTTCTCCTCTTGTCATTTCACCTTCGAATTATATTGTTTTGAACGATTAGTTCAAACACATGGCGCCTTTTTTATTCGACCCCCTCCGCAAGAGTTGTTAATTGCGTGTTGGTCATCTCAGTCGCCGGTTTCAAGGTCCCATGTCGTGCAATAAGATTCGTTTCAACCCTACGAATTTCACTTGACATTTGCTAGTGAAATTGATGTTGGATGCTTTGAAATTCAAATACATTCTCTTACCTAACCTACGCGCATACAAAAGCTGGTACAAAAATAAACGATTGAAAAAATAATGGTTGCGCTAATTGTTTGCGTTTAGAATTTTTGAACGAAAAATGATCGGCTCAAAGTATTGACGTTTTTGCTCATTTTGTGTCTTTTCTTCTAACAAACTTTCATTACGTCCATGTCCGTTCGCCCAACTCCAACCTTTTCGTTTTGGAGTAGCGTTTTCATCAAATTTCGCCTTCTCAAACATTTAATTTCCAAAAAATCCATAGAGTATAAGGTTAGTTAAGGTTTTCCCGTTTTCTTCTTGTGAGCTTTGAATACACTCTGGGGACCACTGTGGCACTTACTAATGGTTATTAGCTATAATTTTGTGTAGAAAGGAGCGCGATGGGACCCACTCTCATCCTCCCCATCTCATCCAAGTACATACATATGGCGATTGACCAAAATTGTTATGTGCTTGCTTTTTGAGGGCTCTAACATAAACAAACTAAAGGGGGTCTGGTAATAATCACATAAAATTGTAAATTTATAGCAACGTAACGAGATCGACGTAAAGGACATTCAATGTTGTTCTGGAAGTGGTTCGCCGATAGAAGAGGGCCCGCGCGATCATGCCTCATCAATGGCGACATTTGTAATCGCTGAATTGGCAAGAGCGAAACCAATAAAAATTAGGAATTCAAATGTGTATTTCAGCTTAATACTGAGAAAAATTACGTGAATGAATTGGAATCACTTATCGATCATTATATGGGACCATTCGAGTTGCCAGAATTCCAAACTTGCATTCCAACCGCAATTCGAGGAAAGCCGGAGCTTGTTTTTGGTACACCTTGATTTTTATATGCGTTTGTGTTTTATGCGTGAATTTCCAGGAAACCTTCGCGAATTGCTGAGTTTCCACTCACGATATCTTCTCGTCGACCTGCAGGCCAACGAATTTTCGCCAAGTGGAATTTGCCGCGCGTTTCTTCAGCATCGGCATAAGTACGCAATAAACATTGAAAAAAAAAACACACAATTATTAAATGTTCAACTTTAGATTCTTGACCCTCTATCGCACATACTGTCAATATAAAGCGTCAAGTGAGGCGATTCGCAAAGAATATGTGGAGTCGAATGCGTTCTTCGGGGAATGCCAGAAACGTGCTGGTCATCCGCTACCACTTGGTGCATATCTCTTGAAACCTGTGCAGCGCATTACCAAATATCAATTGCTGTTGCGCGAACTTGAGCGATACTGTCAGCCGGACGTCAAAGACGATGTAACTGCTGCACTGTCAGCCATGCTGGATCTTCTAGCTCAGATCAATGCAGCAATTCACCAGCTCCACATTTCCGGATTCAATGTAAGAAATTAATAAAATGGAAATTGAAGAAATGTTTTAATTCTTCAGGGTGACCTTCGTGTTCTCGGGCCGTTGCGGTTACAAACGGAATGCGACGTTTACTCATACAATAGAAAGAAGAAAGCAAAATTGTCACGAGCACAAAGACGTTTTTTGTTTTTGTTTGACGGAGGAGTCATGTTCTGTAAAAAAAGGACACCGCCAACCCAGCCATCGAGTATGGATCCAGAATACTATGAGCATAAATTGTGCATTCCGGTGAGTGGAAAGTTCCGCATTCCGTCGTGAACAACTTCATAACCGTTCATATTTACAGGCGCTTTCTCTCGGATTTGCCGATGTTTCGCGGAGCGGAACGGGTCGCTTTGAAATTTGGGACGAAGCGAAGGTTGACGCCTTTGTCATCGAGCCGCTTGACCCAGCTGCGCGCTCTCGATGGGTTGAGCGTTTGAGCAAGTCAATCGGGCCACAAGACGGATATGTTCTCGAGAATCGCTCTCGACCAAAAAGTTGGGCGAGTACTGTCTCCAACGAAAGCTCATGCTCATCAAGCACTCGTGAATCTGACAGTGTTGAAAGGTAAATGAACACTTGTAAATAATATTTGAATATTAAGTGTTTTCAGTCAAATGGACACTAATGGAAACACCCATCAATCTCAAATAAGAAGTACTGATATTCCAGAAAGTCAAGAAATGCTGGATATTACAGTAATTGAACAATTAAGTGGATATTAATAATCATAATGGGTTTTCCAGATGGATGGAACTATAAACACTGCAAATGACGATCTTTGTGGCGAGATTGAGCTCGTTGATAGTTGCTAACCATCAGATTCCTACCAATTTGAGAATTCTTAATAATTATGTCGATTAATTTTGTCTAATATTAATAATGAGATAGATTATTTTTACTTGCATTTTCAAAGCTCCTAAAGCTTGCAGGTTGTCTGTTTACTGTTGACTCTCTCTCGGGTCATACTTTACATCAAGCCGTCTTCTGCTTTCTTTTATTAATAATTATTAATTGACAAAGATTCAATTATATTGTCTCGATAATCTGTCATCCCTGATTGTCTTAAATAGTCGCTTGTACATGGCACCACTGCAGAAACTGCTGAGGCAGATCCAACGGTGCTGGTACCCTATTGTGTGTACGTGTTTCTTCAATTTAATTGTCTTGTACTTTTGATGGATGTTCTATTACAATTGTTCTGACTTGTACAATTTATTTCGTTTTGGAGCCATACTCTTCTTCTGTGCTATGGTTTTTTTTTAAATAAGCCTGATAAATGAGTTCACATAAAAGAAATCCTCATAAAATAAGCACCAAAAACATGAAAATACTTGAACAAATAAAGGAAAAACAACAAAACGAAGCCATTGGTTTTTTGCTTATTCAAGTGGTGTTGCGAAAAAAAAAGAAATTTTTATCTAGTGTACTTGTTAGTAATTTTCAATGCACTATACAGGCCTTTTTTTAAATTGATTCAAACGTAGTCATTAAAAAAGTTTAAAATTTTATGCATTAAACTCTTTTTTATTAATATTTTGATCTTTCTCAGATATTAAGCTTCGAAAATTGACGCGAGTGCAAAAAATATGAACTGAAGGCAAATCTGGAACAAAAACAATTGGAAACTCGAGGTTCGACAACTGATTTACCATTGAAGCAAAAGATAGACTTTCCGATGATTTTTATATTATAAATAGTTTGAAAAGTATACATAGCAAAAGAACATTAAAAAAAAAGATTTGTTGAAATTTGTCTATGGAAGTCCGTTTGCATAATGAACGAATATTTAATAAAAACCAATGTTCTCATTTCTTTCGTGTTCAAATTTTTAATTTGTTCTTGCTGCTAAATATATTATTTTTCAACTAAAAAAATAAAACTCGTAAAGTGGCCATTTCTGTCTTTTGTCAAAAAACTTTATATATGTATTTTAATATCATATGAATTTACATATTTTTTAATATGTATAAACGAAGTTTACGAAATTTGTCGAATATGATTGCAAATAGCAAAAATGTGTATATAAACATACATTTATATTAAATTTTCGGCAGAGATTCCATTCTCGATGTGTTTTTTTGTTGGAAATTTTTTTTTGAGAAGTTGCATGGTCCCAAAAGCACGGATATGTGATGACATTGGACAAAATTGTTGTATCGAAAAGCATACATAGTCGAGTCAAAATGAGATGTTCAAGTAGTAGCAATTTTGAAATGTGCCCGGGTTCTTCCTCTATTTTCGATTTAATATTGCGATTCTGGTTGAAATGTCAAGTGAGAGAGTGCAAATGAATGTAAGTAAACCGATGGCCGTGTGCTGCGATATTGCCATCATTTTCGCATCAGATCAATGACGTATAAGCGGTTTAAGAGCGCAACTTTTCAATCCATTTTTTCTATTATCCGCCAGTTTCCCATGAGCAGTTATTATTGTTATTCTTATTTGCCATCATCCCTATTTTCATCCTAGCATGGCTTTTTTCCTAAAAGTAGCTTTGCTTGGAAACCGTCAAAAATGTCAAGACATTTTTTGATTTTCTTATTAAATTCTTATTAGAATTTGTTCGTTACTTTTATTAGATTTTATGATTCTGCATCTTTTGCTTAAGAGTAATGAGTCATTTTTGAATCTTCACATCATCATTCTACAGTTATCTTGAATAGATTTCTTCCTTGAATCTTTAACTCAGTGTTATTTTCATACTGGATAATTTTAAAAATTTTTCACAAGAAAATTTATTCCGGAAACTTCGAATCTCACTCCAGGTTTCAAAGAAATTTGATACCAATAAGTCAAATAAAGAATATTACGAAAATTTCTATTTCAAGATATGTTGATTTTTATATTGACGTTTTTGTTTAAATATAACTCATTTATATTAAAAAAAAATCTAATTTCTGAGAAATCAAAAACACTTTTAAAGCTTTAATATTGTCCTCAGATCTTGAACTATTTCAATTTTTGCAGGTCGTCTCTCCATTAATTTTTCGTGTTTTTTGATTCATTTATTCTTGAAAATTGGAGTGTTTATCGGTCGGACAATATAATTCGTTTAAAATTAATGAAATAAGTTTTTCTGCACTTCAACACGTGTTAAATAAATTTTAATCAGGCCATGCATTTTTTGTATCTTCTGCAATGTCGGTGTGCAATTTGAATGGGTTTTCTTTTAATAAATTTGAATCTAGTAGCCTTTTGATCTTATCCTGAAAAAAAACTGTTTTAACATGAAGCTTTCAGCGAAATGCTTGATGCATGTTCCTTCAATCGTTTCGATTCAAGCCGTTCATCATCTCGTCGGATGTCCAGACGTGGCAGTGAGTACTTTGGCGACAAAGGTACAAAACTCGTTTATGCAAAAACGCCTTGCATTTCTAATTTACGCGGAGCATGACACGCAAAATACCGAAAATGGAAGAATTCTCTTATTTTAATTTCCGCTAGAAAAGTCTTTTTTCGTAAAAACAAAACGAAAAAAAATCAAGATAAATGGCTTGAGCCACCCAAAGCAAAAATCAAAGAATGTCCGTCAATTTCCGAATATTCCATTTATTTCCACATTTCTTGGAGCATAAGTTCATTTGCGGCGTACATCTGCCACATGGAATATTCTGTCCAAAGTCGAATTTCAACCATTGCATTTTTTGAACCGGCATTTAGCATTTCTTGGCCAAAAAACAGATTGTTAGTTGTCAAAATAATGTTGCGTGCACATCGTTGGTTACAATGTAAATGCTCTCGTTTTTTGCTGCACAATTCTAATTGCTCTTCTAATAGCCTCGAAATTCGGAAAAAGCTGAGAATGCTCAAGTGGTCTTTTTGTGTGAAGTTAAACACATTAAAAAAAGGTTGCGCCAATTTTTTTTATCACAATGAAGAAAACATTATCTCTATTACATTAAACTCCCACGCCAGCAAAAAAAACCATTAGTCTTAATTCATTTGCTATTATATTACCAGTAATTTTGCTTAACAAATTTTTGATAATTTCCAGTCATATTTTAATCAGTATTCTTTAATTATAATATACAAATCATTGGTAATCGATAAGATTGTCAATAGTGAAATGAAGAATATAAGTTTGCTAACCCGGTACTTTAAAGTTTCCGTATCCCCCATGGTATATTCATTATTTATAGAAAACTCTGATAACTTCAGCTAACTCGTAGTTTGATTTATATTTAGCAAATGGCAATATGTACGACAAAAAAGGTTCATTGGAAACAATCAAGTGCCCCATAATGTCGAAGATAATGTGACATTCCCGAGTACCCAAAACGTATATATGTTTTTAAATCTAGAGTATGCTATGTTTGCTTTTGTCTTATAATGGTTCTATGAACATCTTTCGCTCAAATAAAAAATGTTTCTAGAAAATTTTGGTTCGACTGGTTTCATTTCAGCAAAAAATTCAAATTCTTTATTTTGATGTTAATTATTATTAACATTCAAACAAATCCGAGTATCTGACAAGTTGCGTATTTAATTCATACCGCTCAAATTCTGCCCCCTTCTTAACTTTGCCTGAACAATACATATACTTTTGCACTTTCTGAAAAATGAAAACTTATAAATAACATTTCTTTAATTAGCCACGGTAAGTGTTATGGGGTTTTCGTATTCCTACGTTGATCTAATCAGTTGCCTACAAATTGCTTACGACAGTTAACGCGATTTCATGATTGTTCCATATTGCAATTCGTTGAACTTATGTAACAATATTTCATGTTCGCTTTATTTGATTTGTCTTGAAATGTATCCCTAGGGTATTTTTAACTGGCATGGCTATTGAATCAACGCCAACAAGATGCCGGAGTGAAAAAACTGTCGGTGATGCACGGCATTCCGTGATTTTTAAACTTTTTCCTGAGAAAATGTTCACGTTACCTTAATGTGTGCTAAATGGCTGGCTAGCTAGTGAGAAACCAAGTTTGGGAGTGCAAAAACTTTGCATTTCAACAAATGACGGGTATGCATGTGTGTGTGTGTGTGTGTGTGTGAATGCTTTCACAACTTGTCATGTAACATTTTGCACCTCTGACCTTTCTCGACGAATAAAAAATCGAGCACATGCAAAACTCTCGACTGATTCAATCCGGACTTCTATCCAACAATTTTATTAGATTCGCGTGTTTTCTTTTTACGTGTTATTTTTTCGTTTCGCGCTTCGGCCAATAACAAACGAACTAATAGTATTGGTTTTTGACAACGAAATAAAAAATTTCCTCCCTCATAGAAAATTTTGTTTGAAAAGGTTCTATTCTTGTTATGACACAAGTCGGCAGAGTGAAATTGTCGCAGCAAATAGAAATGCTTACTTCTGATTCAGTAAAATTCACGCCTGCGCAACAACTTTTATTAGTTCATTTCATATTTTTGAATGTTTAAAGCGAGAAAAAGTTAGGTATAAACTTGTTTAAAGTTTCGAAGCCATATGGCCATTTTTTTTAATTCCTTCAAACATCGACTTTATCTTGAAAACGAGACATCATATCGTATCACTTTTTTGTTTCTCAAGTTTAGTCACGGGAGAATCTTCAAACTAGGTGTCAATTTCCTAATAAAATTCAAATGTGTCATTATTTTTCAATACTTTTAAAAACATATTTTATCGACTGCACCAAAGTTAGAGGTCCTCCTTTTAATTTTTTTCCTTTTTTTCCGCTGTACAGGGTGTCATTTAAATTCCCGCACAAAAGTTTGACGTTATGAAGAGCTTCGCTAACGCACTTTTCGTGCACCAATATAATTTATTTTTGTTAAATAAGGTATATTCTACTTACTTTCCAAGTTTCACCTCAATCGGATGTGTTTCCGAGAAATGGCGAAGGCAAACATCCATCGCGCTTCCATTATCGAACTTCATAAGCAAAATGTGAGCCCGAGAGACATAATTCAACGCCTCAGTGTGCCTCGTAGAACGGTTTGCGACACCACCAAACGTTTCAAAGAGCTAAATACGACCAGTGACCGTCCCAGATAAGGAAGACTCGTCTCGGTAACCACTCGTCAGAAGATCAACGCTGCTAAATCGAGGATCAGGCGAAACCCGTACAGGAACATGAAAAAGATGACGTCAGATATGGGAATGAGCATCTACGCTATGGAACAAATCCTCAAAACGAAGCTTGGACTGACCCCATATCGTGTCCAAAAAGCGGCAATTCTATCTGCCGTCAGCAAGCAGAGACGCTTCAAAAAAGCAAAACGACTTCTTGCTCGCACGCGGTCTGGAGAACATCTCGTCACTGTCTTCTCCGACGAGAAGCTGTCCACTGTGGAGGCGGCATTCAACACACAAAACAATCGAGTACTTGCCCAGACATCCCAGTAAGCTTCTGAGAAAGGCAGAACAATTCATCGAGCCTCACATCCTGCCAGTGTGATGATTTTCGGTGCCATCTGCTCAACCGGGAAGTGGCCCCTGGTTGTCGTGGATCCGGGGGTGAAAGTGAACAAAGAAGTCTACGTTCGGGACATTTTGGAGAAGCATGTGATGCTTTGGGCCCAAACGCATTTCGGTGGGCAGAAATGGGTCTTTCAACAGGACGGAGCACCCGACCACACTGCCAAAACTACTCAGGAGTGGTGCCAGACCCATTTTCCCGACTTCATCAAGTCATCCGAATGGCCTGCTTGCTCCCCAGACCTGAACCCGCTTGACTTCTCCGTGTGGGGTCTTGCAGGAGAAGGTCAACGCAAAACCCCACTCAAATGTAGAGTCTCTGAAGAAAACATTACTGGCGGAATGAGACAATCTTTCCATCGAATACCTGCGTACCACAGTCGCATCATACCCGAAGCGTCTCCGTGAAGTCATAGCTGCGAAAGGAGGCCGAATCGAAAAGAGTTAATAGATAATTATTTGTTATACTATACATAAAAAATATTTTGAGTCTCGTTTGATTTGGACTTTTAGTCTCAGAAATATACGTCTTAAAAGTTGTGCGGGAACTTAAATGACACCCTGTAGTTTGGGCTTGGAATTAATTTCCTAATCCTTCAAATTTAACAAAAATTTGAAGCGATTTTCTCCATGAATAATCACGCGAGTTAAAATTTCCACAAAAAGCGTATTTTGGTATTCATTTGTGAATTTTTGATAAACTATTTGTTGTCAACAAAGAATCTCTGCAAGTGACATACAATTTATGTGCAATTACGGATTCTACTCAATTTTTCTTCGTTATTTTCTTTGTTTGATCTTTTTTGGTTACATCGCACATTTCCATTCAGTTTGAGCAAGTGCATAGTATATTGGTGTTAAATTCAATAATACGTTTCTTGAAAAACTTTCATGATTAAATATTGAAGCTTCCCCTTCTGCATATTCCTTTTTGCATACTTTATATCATAGATGTGTTACTGTGATACCCAGCGTTGAAAGAAATGAAGAACGTCTATCCGCGGTATTCACTACCAAGAAATTCAATTGCCAGTCTTCGGCTGGATGATTTAAGAACATTCTCTGGTTCCCCAGGTGAGGTTATCACGTAGTTTAATGAATATTTTTTAGTTATTTATTGCGTCCTTATAGATCAGCACCAATATTTTCTTTCCAATGTTTTGTGTACATTTGTTTTTACCCCACCATTCTGCATGACTGACAGGAGTTCAAAATTTTTTTAAATAAGCAGGTTAATTTATGCAGAAAACCATTCAAGCTTTTCCTAACTTGGCTGTCGCTTTTCTCTCCATTCTCCTAGTTTTATTGACATTCCTCTTCTGTAGCATTTCCCTTGAATATCACGCTAATAATTTAACTACCGCATGTTTATTTGGTTTATGATGTTTTTTTTGAAAATTGTTTGAAAACGATGAATGCGTTTCAAATTTTATATTATATAACAATCTCTTGTACTAGGCTTCCTTAATGTTTGACGTATCAAATTTTTTTGCAAACATCAATTGACCAAAAATTCGAATTAAGTCAAACTTTTCAATAAAAAAAAACAATCCTTAATGTCAAAATTTCGAGAAAAAAAATGTGTGAAACGTTACTTATTTTTATATAAAAGTTGTGCAAGATAAAACAAGGGCCTTAATTAGAATGGCTGCCATTTTTTATAGATGTCGAATCTGTCTTTGTTTATTAATTGTCGTTACTCAATTTCATTTCTCATTAATCTTAAAAATTAGCTATTTACTATTAATCACGTAAAAAATGAGACTTATTGTGTTAAATTTTCTCGTTGTTGGCAGTGTTTTTATTCAAGTACAATAATTTCACCAACATAACAATACTTCCACTTAGTGACAAGTTTCAATGTTCACTACTTTCTGTGCTGTAGAACTGTATTTGTTTGATTATATTTATAACCTATGATATTTTTAATGAATCACGTCCATTCTTTCTGAACTGAATTTAAGTCTTAAATGAATAATGCGATTGTTTGGTTTCGGTAATGGAAACTTAGCCGGCCAACTATTGTCGCCCTTAAACCGCCAAAATCTCCTTAGAAACCAACTTCACTTCTCCATTCGTGACATTCGCATCGTTGAGAGAGTGCGCCTTCTGTATTTTATGTTTTCCTGTACTTCGTTTTTTAATGGGTGGACAGAGAGAAAACAGGCAAGAAAGGGTGAGTGTTACGATATACAAATTAATGATAGTAAAAATAATTGTTTGATGATGTTATGATGTAGAATACCCCGAGTTTTAGATAAGTTTTATTTATTGAAATATATCCCCATACGTTATAAATAAGAAGTGTAGTATTATATGCAATGGTTTATCAAACTATTAATTGAATTAGCTTATTAAATATATATATGTATATTTTTTTTTCATATCTAGAAGAACAAAAAAGGTAGACAAATTTTCAATTGCACAATTAACGCGATCATTTTTCAACTATCAATGTACTATGGATATATATATATATATATATATATATATATATATGTTTAAGAAATATTTTGAAGTAATAATGCCCTTTTATTCGGAAATATTCTTATTACACTCAAAGAGTTTTGGCTAAAAGAAACAAGCTTTGTCAAAAAAAAAACCAAATCCATAAAATAAGTATGCATGCAAACCGAGGAGTGTGAAAATTAATTCGAAAGCTGTATGAGATACGACCGTGTTTGTCTTTCAGAACAACACTATTGTATACACACACACATATGTATATTTTTTTTTCCTACACTTAGGAACATTGTTATATTTAAAGTTTCTTAGTTTTTTTTTCATTTCAAATATTTTCTTTGCAAAAAAGTGCTCATAAATAAAAAGAGGCATTATTTAAATCTATTCAAGCCTACATTTTTCCTCGCCTTTTTTTTCTGCTGAACCTATGATTTATGGATTGGTCATTTATATACGGTAATTGAATTGAACTATTGTCGAATTGTTGGATATTTAATTTTTATTCAAAAATTCAATTTTTATTTTATAATGTTCCAAATTTTGCTTTTCGTGCACATTTCCCGTTTAAAAATTCTATTCAAATATTGAAACAAAGCTTTCATTCGATTCTTCCGACTAACACCTAATTCTTTATCAATTCCTTTTTATACAGTTGAAAACTCGTGACGTTCTTTAAAATTCATTTGACTAGTTGAATGTGTAATGCTCCCATTTTTTGTTGGGATCAACTTATAACACATGTTGGTATTTGCAACATGGGAAAGAAGGACTCTCGAATTAATTTCTGCTCAATGTGCATGAATTCATTTAATTTCGCTTTAAATTTGCTTTCATAATGCATTTGCGAAGACATGGTTTTCCCTTCTAAATACGGATATATAAATCAAAGATATAACGACAAGTGCACTAAAGACTACTTAGCCTATTTCTATATTTGCTTATCCGTTTTTATTTTGTCGTGTTTGTTGCATGCTATTTATTATATCTTTTTTTTCAATTGCTCATTTTTATTTGTAAGATTGAAATATATTTTGCATAAGTATGCCGATTTTTTCATCAAACATGTCAATAGTGTAACCCCATCTATTTTCCGCATACATATGAAAAACCCACCCATAGCAACTGTATCTAGGAGGTAATTTTGTTTGTGTTCTCAAAAACTTCACTTGTCTGACAATATCGAATATTTAGATGAAATGGGGTTGCAATGTGTGCATGCGTTTTATTAATCATCTAATTATTGCAACTATTCACTTTTCAGGCATTTCTATGGATGAACGGGTTGTTCTCAATGTCGGTGGCGTACGACATGAGACTTATCAAGCAACATTGAAAAAAATACCGGCAACCCGATTAAGCAGGTTCTTTCATAATAATTTTCCTAGCGGAAATTGTTTTAAAGATTAACGCCGTCATTGGCAAACTTTGATCCGCTCTTGAATGAATATTTCTTCGATCGACATCCAGCAGTTTTTGCGCAGGTTTATTTTAATGAATATGATTTCGTTTTTACAAAAAATATCAGGTTTTGAACTACTACCGAACAGGTAAACTTCATTATCCCACTGATGTGTGTGGCCCGTTATTCGAAGAAGAACTGCAATACTGGGGTCTCGATGCATCTGATACAGAGCCTTGTTGCTGGATGCAATTACTCCATGCTAAGTACATTCGAATCTTTAAAAAAATATATATTCATATTGTTTTAGGGATACTCAAGAAACACTAGCTGTTCTTGACCGGATGGATGTTGATAGAGAAGAAGACCCTCAACTTCGGGAACAGGATACAATGAAAAAATTCGGCTGGGAGGAGGATTTCTTTCAAGGAAAACGCACAAGATGGATGTATTTCAAACCTAGGATATGGTCGCTTTTTGATGAACCATATAGTTCAAAATACGCAAAAGTACACTAGCTGAAACGTAATACGTTAGAACAGACATTTTCAGTTGATTGCCGGTATATCAGTATTTTTCATTTTCATTTCCATTCTATCGTTCTGCCTAAAAACGCATCAATCCTTTCGTATTCCTGTGATAGTGGCAGAGAACATTACTTACAAGGGCAACACACAGACAAACGTTGATAGATTGTCGACTGAGCCTTTAATGATATTTAGCCAGGTAATTTAACCATGTATCACGTTCATCAATTAAAAACATTTTAGATTGAAATGTTTTGCAATATTTGGTTTACTTTCGAATTGATTGTTCGCTTCTTTTTCTGCCCTTCAAAATTGCGATTTTTTAAAAGCCCAATTAATATAATCGATTTGGTGGCTACTCTTTCCTTTTACGCTGATGCCACTTTTGTACGTTTTGTCGAAGACGAACCTAAAGATGTTGTGGAATTTTTGTCCATGATCAGGTTATCGGAATTACGGATAGCATTGTAAACTTCGATCTTTTTTACAGAATTTTCCGCTTATTCAAACTAACCCAACATCACCAAGGATTGCAAATTCTTATCCATACTTTTCGTGCTAGCGCTAAAGAACTTATACTCTTGGTATGTAAAATTAAAGTCAAGAAAATATATATATGGAATTTCGAAGGTTTTCTTTTTGATTCTTGGAATCGTTATATTTGCTGCTTTGGTTTACTACGCTGAAAAAATGGAAGTCAACCCGAACAATCAATTTCAGTCAATTCCGTTAGGTCTTTGGTGGGCAATATGTACTATGACTACGGTATCATTAACGACAGTGTTCTTAATTAAATTATTTTAAGGTTGGATATGGCGACATGACACCTCATACATCATTTGGTAGACTTGTTGGATCACTGTGTGCTGTGATGGGCGTCTTGACCATTGCACTCCCAGTTCCAGTAATTAATCATTAAATTAATTCAGACAATTGATCTTTATCTTGAAAATAACTATTCAGGTTATTGTGTCCAATTTTGCAATGTTCTATTCGCATAATCAAGCTCGTGACAAACTTCCAAAACGGAGGCGTCGCGTACTACCTGTCGAACAAATCAGATTACAAGCTCGTCGGCATGCTGCCGTTCTCGAACCAACTGGGGGAGGTTGCGAAACTGCTGGTGTCCGTCGTCACAATATTTTGATAAGTAAGAAAACGTCGAGAAATTCTACCGCATTAATATTCAATGCAATATTCAGATACTCAACATTGCGACACTGATTCCAAGAAAGAAACCCGAGAAAAATCTGAAGAGTCAGAAGGAACAAGCTCAAGCACTGCTGGAGTTGACACTGTGGTTAACATTGGACCAAATGAACAAGGTGCAATAACTACTACAATAAATTAATCTGAACAATTTTATGTGAATCGCTTCAATAATATTTATTGCAAACGTTTCTATTTTCCCAAATATTTTCCGGCTCTTCTCTGAACGCTTGTGCCAACCCGTGTCCCGATGTTATAATTTTTACACGTATCGTCTATGTGTTAATATTTATTAATTGATGACAATAAAATATAAATTGACATATATAAATGAATTGTTACCCATGGGTATAATTGATATATGGCAAGAAATTTTGACAACTGGATGAGATCTTTAATAACGAATGTGTTTGTCGCGGTTTTTCCATTGAAGGTGGGCGTCGTACGCGTAGGCAAGGAAAGTAATGACGGTGAAAGCCTAGAAGACGCTGAGTTCATTTATTACATGGAAATGATGTATACCAAGGGAAAAAGGAAAACTGGAATCACATGAGTTGCGGCGACTTCAATAACACTAATTGATGTGGCAAGAAGGTAGAGAAGAGCGAAGAGGGTTGTGAGCATGCGTTCCTGGAAATTTTAAAGTTCAATTTCTGACGATAAATGGAATATACCAAAATTGGAAAGTTGTAGCGGTAGTAAGCGTCATAAACTCCGAAAGCAATTGCAACGGTGATCAGAGTGGTAAAAAAGGCACAGAACAGATTGACAACCATGATTTGGAAGAGCTGGAAGGACGAAAATAGCCTGAACACAAATTATAGGTTTTGCATTCTCTGTTTGGCATACGTCACACTGCAGTGTTGAATGTCCTCATTCGGATAGCAGAGCGAGTTGAACACTGCAGCAAGTAGACCGAATACCTAAAAATTTGAATACTTTTCCCGCGATTTAAAGTATTTGGCGATATTCATTTTCGCATCATTAATGGGTGATTTCATGAATTTTACAACGTGTTCACAGTCCTATAGAATATATCCTATAGAACTGTTTCTATATGGCTAATAACCATTTGATATATGAGAAATTATGGATAATAGAGATAGTATTAATAAAAATTGCTGGGTATACGTAAATTGTATTGAACTCAAAAATGAAAATTATCGAACTAAGTAGTTGGTAAATAAATTTGTGGAAAATATACAAAAGAAAATAGAAAACCCTTACGATTTCAAACAATTTTAAAATATTTCCGCTCTCGTGGAAGAATCCTTTGTTCAACATCATTGGTGGTCCGTCGTGGTGAAACATTGTTGCAAAACGTATTGAAACTGTTACCCTAAATTGAACGTATTTTTTTTTATTTTTGCGAATAAATGTGCACATTATAACGAATTGTGCATATAAGATGAGTTTATTGCAACGGAAATCTTGCCAAATCGAATAAGTTTCGAAACGGATGCAAACAAACTCGCTTTGGCAAAATCATCCTCTGCTCGGAAGTGTGATTCTAATGGGTTTTGAGCAATTATAGAGCGGGAAGAGGGCGGCGGAGATGAGCTTCATGCAACTCTCCTCTCTTGTCGCCTGGCGAAACACAATCTTATGCAAATCACAAGGCTTTTGTTTTACTCATACTAAATATGTATATTGAGAATTGAATGGATTTACAATGAGAAGAGCACCACAAGCGTATTATCTAGTTGAATATTTGACAAGTGGTTGGCTTAATTTAGAAACTGCGCAATGAGAAACATTTTTCCTTCATCATTTTTGCAATTTGAGTTTTTGTGCAACCGTTTGTATTTATATGTAATAAAATCGAGTGGGCCAAACTTTACAGTTAAAAAATTACAGGCCCTACTAAAAATACTGAAATTTTATAGAAAATAATCGAAAAGAAATAAATTATTTTTTAAATAGAAAACAAATATTAAACTAAAAAGTGTGGATGCTGGCTTACATTTGTTAAACTATAAAAGTGTCTTGGTAAATATTACAAAATAATGGTCGGCGTAATTCAAAAAAGAAATGCTGACTCATAAATGCACTGGCGATTATTGAAAAATATCGAATTATGAAGAACATCAATTAAAAGTTAAAATACTCAAAAAAAATTGTTTTCAGAGCGTTTGAAAACATAACTTCATAAATTGAATAAATGCTAGAGTTTTGGCAAATAGAAAATTTAATTTTGAAAATTGAACATAATCAATTTTCCGATAACGATGTGCATGTGTGTTCACTTATTTATTCACTTACTAATTTTGCTTGGAAGAATTGACCAGGAAATGCATAACAATATGCGAAACAAAGAAAATTTTTCGGAACGAGTGCATGAATCAGTAGGCGGCCGCTAGCATCTAGTATATACGAACATTATTTGCTTTTTCAGAAAGGTGCGAAATGATGCGACAATGACTCATAGCGCCATTTTATTTCCGGACGACAAAAACACATGCGCGTTCTTTTTTTCTTGAGCAATTGCGGATTTTAGCATGAATTTTAGTGTACATCGAATTTCATTATGCGTAAAAAATATATATTATGCGTTATAAAAAGACGTAAAGAGCTTGACAAGAATGAAATTTCACTACTATACAATTTATGAGCTTGAAATGTCTCGCCCGGCTAATTAACTTGCCAGAACTCTGTCTCTGCTCATTAAACTCAAAGTGCCAAGGTTTCGAGGTGAGCAGCGTCAACATTTCTTAAAATAGGCTAATTAAAGCGTGACCCCTCTTTCCGTCAAGCGCGTGAGCAAAATAAGACAGAGTCCATATCAGTGGTGTTCCTGATAATTTTGGGTCATGCCGAGCAATGCAAACATAATATGGATTGTAAAAAATCGGACCGCCTTCGATGTGCGTGCTCACCAAATGAGATGAGTACACCGCTGCCGACTGCAAAATAACATAAACGTGGGAAAGGTCAAAAGGTATTGAATTTTGAATTGCTATACAGATGGTACCATGCTCACCTAGGATTGAAACGGTTTATTAAAAAAAATTAACTATGTAAAATTGAATTTTTAATTTAGATTTTTTTACCAAAAAGCTTTTTCTATTAAAAACAATTTCGAGATTCAAGAAATAAACAATGGAATTTCGGCTTGAATCCAATGGTTTCTTAATTTCAAAATCGATTATTTATTTTTTGCATAACGCATTTTCTTACACAAATCCTTATTTTAATACGAAAAAACGGATGGGAACACGCAGGAAATACGTATATGCCATCAATTTTTCTTGCTCGATGTACATTTCGAAATTTCAATTAAAACCGACTCAATGCCAACATGTCTAATAAAGGAGAAACACGACGAGTGAACGAGTTACCCACGAAGATTATCAAGTCGCATTTAGAGCCATTGCGGCGAGCGAGCCTAGTCAAATAAATAATGCATACTATTTGAATGTTCGATGATAATAATATTAATTAATAATATAATAATAATGAGTAGAAATCATTATTTTTGCAACACAATTAATAATTGGTGTCAATAGGAAATTGAAACTGGAAACAAATAAAAAAACACACATGTGACGAAAGAAATTCTCAATGGACAAATAAAAGCTTTTATGATTCGGCAGAGTTCGAGTTCTCAAATTTGAGTGAGAGCATTCGGGAGTGGGTATCAGGACATGAGAGGATAAGTATACATGAATATATGCGCGAAGACAAGAACTGAGGAGCACTATTTACAAACATTCCCAATTTTAATATTACGATTTGATGTTTTCACTTGATAAATTGAGATATATTGTGTGTTTTGGATTTCACGTATACGTTTGTACGAAGGAAAACTAAGTATTTGAAAGATTCTGGTTGGAAAGTGTAATAAAAAAAACAAGGGAACCAACGAATTTTTAATTATTTTCAGCTGTGGAGAACATTATTACATCGTTCGTAAAAGTCACTAGAAGGGGGAAAAGGGCGTAGTAAAAAAGAAAAGAGAGCTGAAATATTGTATGCATGTTGATTCGGTGTCATACTTCCTTTTTAGAATGAGCTCATTGCACGAATAGGCTTTCGTGGCAGCTCCTGCTTTTCCGACTGCTTCGCCAATTCTTGCGGAGGACCAAAAAATTCGACCGATTTATTCGAGACCATTGAATTGCTCAGTGTAGCGGTGTTTTGAGCTATAAAATGATTCATTAAAAAACAATTCGTAGTAGAGGCGAAATGAAACTTACGAAATTTGATCACTTGCTGCACATTAGCAGCGTCTTCTTGAGGCGACAACTCTAAAAATAATAGTATTCTGTACTTAATGATGTTGTGAAGAGAAATATGAACATTAAACGAGAAATTGCGACTTTTAACGGGCCGCTAGCGATAGAACCCTGCGAGCAACACGAGAATTCGCGATACTCACTGGTAATTACTGGCTACTCGCTTGAAATGAGACACATTTATACTCCTACGGAAATTGAGTTGAGATCACTTCAATGTGCGATTTTCTAATAACCTAGAGGCAAGCTTGTATTTGTTTTTGTTCCAACTGCGTCTTTTTACAATTCGAATTCAAAAATGGTTTTTAAAAAATTTTAAACAATGCGGAGTTCACAGTGCGCATTAAGCGAAACAAAGTTTGTTTACAATACGCTTACAAGTAGGAAATACTGATTTTATTTAATGATATTTCTTGCTATTCTTCAAATACCTGAATGGCGTGTGTATGTGTATCTTTACTTTAAATATTTCATTACAAATTAGAATTTTTCTTATATTTTTGTTGCAAAAAACCCCGATTTCAAATATTTTACTTGAAATGGATTGTTCAGAAAAAACATCAATTAACTAATTTGGAGAGCCAAACATTGATCAAAAAAATCCATTATTTGTAATACTTGCATGAAACTATAGTTGAAAAAGTATGTAAATTAGTTTCTTATCCGATGCCGTTTGTTAAGTGGTTATTCATACAAAACAAAAAACCTTGTCTTCGGCAAAATATTTACATATTCATTGTTCAGATTTCCGTGAGACAAAAAACAATTTACATGTAAATATATGTGCGAACACACTACCTGACTCTTTGAGCATCTCCTTGTTCTGCTGTTCCAAAATGAACTGCTGAAGTGCAACATCAAATTTGTTGTTGGAAAAACACGGCATAAACTGGAATATCGATAATTATAGTTATATCGCGCCCATTGATACCTGTATCATTTCCTTACACCCATTGCAATGCCTTTGTCTGCTCCTCGTGCTCGTTTCATCGTCGCATGTACTCCATTCGCTCCATTCAGACAATACACTTCCAACCCCAATGCTCTCAGAATCTGAAAAACTTGCATTATTACACACATCGATTGTATATTAATTCACTTTGTGATTTGTCAAATGGATTAGGTGGAGCTTGCAAATGATTTCCTGAAAATGTTAGTAGAATTTCCCAAATAATTGAAAAACACAAAAAAATAATGATAACGCTGGATCGAAAGACTTGCACATTTCACAATCCGTGTATTTCCGAACAACCAGACATGTCTAATTACATGTCTCATAGTTCAAAACAGTCTCGGGAGAATTCGCAGTATGCATGTTTTGTTTCGAAGTTTGATGTCGTGCTGTCTACATTTTAAACGTTTTAAATACCTGCTCCAATAGCCGTTTCCGTGACACATTTCGCGATTTCCACGTAATCCACTTTGAAAGACAACTCTGGTATGAAATATTGCTGCTTTGTGTGTCGCGTGTGGACATTTAGAATACAATTAAGTGATGGAAAATCAGGATAATGAAGAATCGAATGACACGTCTTTGAACGCATTGTCTAGAATTTAGAAATGTAGACACAATAAGACATAAATCTCAGAAAAAATACCTTTGATTTGATACATTCCAATATGCATTCTTGCTCGCTTGAAACTGATATTACATCGGTTGCATGTCCTACAATAGTTATCGTTTTTGGTCTGATCGTAAATAAGTTAATTAATTTTTGGATGTTTTCCAATTATTCATAATTAATGAAATTGGTGCATATTCAGGAAGGTTGTTTGAAATGCAATAAAACAAGAAATAAGCCTACCCAATAGAATGTGCTGAGGTATTCTTCGGAAAACATCGTCGCATGTTATTGGTAGCACATTGTCTGCAAACAATATTTTGTGAAATTTCAAAATTTTAAGAAAATTTCTCTGTAACTCAGATTGTTGGTATCTAAGCGAATAATTTGATTTTTCTATTTATTGCCGATTTCTTTTTAATTTGAAAAACTTGATGATTCCTTCTCTTTGCTGTTTCTCTATAAATGTCATCTTATTAAACAAATCCTTTGTAATTCTCTAGTTGGTTTCTCGCAAATATATGGGTCGATTTACACATGCGCCTCTCCCAATTGTCTTGTGCAGACTAATTCATTTTTTTTGCATATTACGCTTAACTTCTCAGTCCATGTGATTTTTTTTTCGTGATGAGACGATAGACGCATATTCTTGAATCGACCTTAATGTATTAATTTCCGAAGACCTAAAACATTTTGAACTTCGAATTATAACGATAACTCATAACTACACGGCGAATAGCAGTGTTTCAGCAATTGGTGATTTATTCTTTTGAATTTTTCAATGTCTGAAAACATTGAAAAAATTCTAATATGTACCGTAATTACATAAGAAACATAATTTAAAATATATTTATTGAAAAATCGTTCACTTATTCTCAATTTTTGTCGACAAAAATGCCATACCAGAAATTTATTCTCATTTTATAAAATATATGTGTATGAATGTTCGAACACGGAAAAGTTGCTCCTTTTGTGTTTTGAATAATGTTTTCTAAAAGCATTGTTTGAAAAAGGATCAATGAATTCCATGAGAGCGTATTGATAAGATGTGTCACCTACCACATTCCAATATATTTCAATACATTTTTGGATTTTTTTTCATTTCTATTTGAAACGTTTCTCTCAAAAATTATTAACATATGGGAAAACTAACATCGCTGATAATTATGAGCTAATTAAATAACAGGGACAAGAAACTTCTTTTCTTTTTCAATGAAATTACTCACACCTGTTCATTATCGTTTGCACTTTTGGCAACAATTCATGATTCGATATTTTTTGAGCAGAAAACTGATTCTATTTTCAAACCCAATTGTTCATATTGTGCTCATTGTCATACGTGCAAGGTTTAATTAATGTTGTGTAGGCGATGGCAAACACGCAATTTACTACATTTGGGGGGAAAATAAATTATTGGATCTTAGATATTTATCCCGAGCTTTTGAGCTCCAAATTATAGGTTGATTGAGAATTGTCACGTTCAAAATCATTTAAATCGAGTTTGCTTTTTGCGTGTCTCACTGTTTTATTAAAAAAAAGAGAAGTGTATACTTTTTTATCAAGGTTATAAATAATATTGCTTTTATTGTAAACAATTTGGTGAATCATGTTACGGAGACAAGATTATTACTACAAGAAACGCTCGCTTTTGAATCTGCCTCCGTCTTTCGCTGCAAAGCAGATTTGGCCTGGATTTATTTTCTGATCTTCAGAAGAACCATTTAACGAATGCAAAAAGCGTTTTTGCCATTTATCCAGCAGGACACTATTTGAGGCCGTAATGAGATGAGGTTATTGGGATATAAAATTAAATAGTATCTTGCTTTTACGCCCTCATTGAAATCTCTCGTTTTGTTCATGACAAAATCCATTTTAGCGCTCTCCGAATGTGCTATTCTCTCGTTTTTTTTCTCTAAAACAAAAAAGGTATTTACGATAAAATAATGTTTAAAACCTGATTAATACTCATTGTTATCAATTTACTATAAGTATTATTGATTTTTTTAGACAAAAATGACTAGAAAGTGTGAAATTTTAAATCAAATTCTTGGTCAAGAAATTATGAAATTTTAAATTAGTGTATTGTTACGAAAAATCGTTAAAAAGAACGTGCTAACCGAGACACATTTCAAAAAATATCAGTTTGAAATTTGCTCCAAATTTGATTATTTCAGTTGAATATTTCTTTAATATTTCTAGCTTGTCGTTTTAAATATCCAGCCATGTGCAAAAAAAAATTGAGTTTTCAACTTTTGACGTATGAATGCTATTCAAAGAATGTCTGATTTTTCGCAGAATCTATTGATTTTTCGTTTGTTTCCTCTTGAAAGCTGAAAGCTTAAATCCGAAATACCGCTAGAATATACGCTTTTCATTTCCGATCTTTTTTTTTTAATAAAAATAAAGTATTTTTTTCAATATCGTCATAGAAAAAAACGGATCATATGGGTGCTTTCTTCCAAAATCAATTCTATATATATATATATATATATATATAAATTCGTCCACGTGGGCTCAAATTCACACGCTATTCTTTAATAAAACTTTGTGATGTAAATTGATGTAAACTAGAAAAACGGAATATTTCAAAAACTCTAAACGCGATCCCATGTCAAGAGTCTATGACCTCGTTGAGCGTTTTGAAGCGTGCCGACATGAAAAATGGGCTTTGTCCTGAGCATTTTCTAATTTCGTCGACAGATTCATTTTAATTTTTCTATCTCATATCGACCAAATTGGTTCGACGAGCCGTTCATACAGCCTACGCCTCCAGTTTTTCTGACACTAGTCGAAACACTACAAATTGTGAGCATTCTAATTTTATCTATTGTTTGTGATAAAAATGTAAAAAGTTGTAAGCCTAGGCTCTCAAAACTATTACTCAACTTAGAGACATTGAAAAGCCATTTCATTAATATTTAAAGGGAATTTTATTGTGATAATCTGACATTAAACATGTAATAATTAAAAAAAAACTATTTTTAATTTTATTATTAATTATCAAAATGCTTATCGTATGTTACATATTCCAAATATGGAATAATGCTACCAAAAAGCATTAGCAGATAATTTACTCATGTGACGTCACAGACATAGTAATATCCTTTGTGTCCGTACCACTTTCCGGCTTGGGATTTCCCCCTAGCGACGTGGATATTATGAGCAATATCTCATTTAAATTCGGTTAATAAAAATTCCCACGCTTATGTTTTTGCTGTTCGTAGTCTTATCCACATTTTACCGATATTGAAATTTATTTTCGTGTGAATCTTACCTGGTATGCATATTTTTTCCATGTAAATGACATGTTGATTCGGTTGGTACTCGAGAAATCCATTAGGATTGATCGAATCGGAAAATAGACTGCACTTCTGGTTATTCCTATCAAACTGCGCAGATCGGCAAAGAAGCGGAAGCCGTGACCCGTCGGGATACTGTAAGATGCTATTTTTGGCGCTGTCTGCATTGGGTTCAAAAAATTTGATAGCTTCAATAAAGCGTGGTAAAATTTCGGGCTATTACCGTTAAAAATTGTATGTTCGTCATTCGCGCCGCCGATGCCGTAAATATGAGGTTCGGGTGCGTATCGCTCGTTTTCCCCCGCTCAGACATGTTTAAACTTTCATTTTGCCATAGCTCGTTATCGCGCAATAGAAAATACATATCAAAGCCAATTTCCGTTTAGCTGTGATCTCAAAATTTGTTGTCAAAAAATTTCGTATGTTACATCACCAATGGCAAAAGTTTTGATGACATTTCTCGTTAGTTTCAGGAAAATTGTTAATTTTCTCAATTTTCTTTACATTTATTTCGATCTCTGACAAATTGAAAACCAACATTTATTTATTTCCAATCTGCCCGTTAATGGTAAAATATAGAGTTCTTATTCAACTTCGTTATTCACTCTTTCCCTTGTCTTGAAAATTTGCTGCCAATTGTGGAAATTAGCCGCAATAAATATATTAAAGGCTCTGCAGGGTGGAATCGTTTTCGAACATGTTAACTTTTATTTGTTCCTTTGTCTTTTGATGTACATCCTTCGCCTCTTCTTCAATTTTTACGAAAATGTTTTCAATATTATGTTCAATTGTATTTCCAACTATTATCATATGTCGTAAACAAAGTCCAAAGAAAGATCAAAATAGAACCAAATATCCTACGTGATTTATCAAGAAACCCAGCATTTTGCTTCCATCTATCATTGAAAATTATATGATATGAATGTTGTTTTTCCCTTTTCATGTACTTATTAAAGGGCATGGCAAATGTTTGTCGATATGATAATTGGGGGATTGAAAAATATGCGTGTTATAGGTCTTTCTGCACATGATGCTGGCTCATCGCCACGTATGATTTGCCTAGTTAAAGAACCTAATGTGAATAATGAAACTTATTCGGTGGTATTAAGCAGTTTTTAGCACAAAGCGTAATTGAATTTGGAAACGTTCATGTGCTTTGAATTTTCTCTGATAAGTAGGAGATCAGATATTTGCTTTCGAAAAAAAACGAAAATGAGCAGATGTTTAAGAAACGCCAAATTTCAACGCTTTTAGAAATAAAAAAGAAAACTGATGATTTTTGATTTAAATGCTCATGTATGTAAACTTCCTCAACCAACGATCCCTACTTTCTCACAAAAATCTTTCATGTATTGGTTTGAGCACAAAAGTCGTCTTGAAGATTGAATCCTATAAAAATCGCCTACAATTGTCTCTGCAGACAAACATAACAATTTTTGTAGATATAATTGTCTCATGAATATTACTTTCCATCAATGATTTTTGATGTTTCGGCATTTGCCGTATCACAGGATTCTAGGAACAGACATACGACAATCTTTTCTTGTTTACCTGACACATGGACAGAATCCCCAGTTAGTTGATTAAAAAATATATAAAAACTTCTTATCTTCTTCTTCAACGCCTGTGATAAAACCAACATTACAAAATGTTGCAAATAATTGAAAACATATACTTAGTACTTTTCTAGTAAAAAAAATAAATTTGTCGAAACCTGTATCGAACATTTACTAGAAAATGGGCGCAAAAATAAAAATTGTGCATTACACAAAACATCTCTTTTTCAAATTACCTTACGCTTATTCACCCGACATTTTATTCAAAAATTTGAAAATTTCTCGTGATGACGCTAAATAAACATTGATTCTTTTTGCTAGATACAACATTTATAAGTTAGTTTTGTCAGTTTTTTCTCTCCCAACTTACCATGCTCATACGACATGATTGTGCGCATTGCTCCGCCTGTGATACCTGGAATCCGATAGAATCATCTCGGTCTACCTATAAACGATTCTTCTCTAATTTGCAAAATCCCATGACATTCATTACCTGAACACCATCGATAACTTGAATGCGTGAATGCTCATTAATGGGACAGTCGGGGACGATGGGAAGGACCTTAAATCCCATTATGATACATTTCTTAAACTACCGATTTTTGAAGCAATATTAATATATTTTCATAGGTATTTAATTAGTTTGAACTTTGGAGCGTAGACACAACGCAATTTTCATATACGCTTGCACTACTACAGAATGTGTTTCCCTAGATACGGTATATAAATTGCCTAGTGACGCGCTTTTTTCAAATCGCATCGACAACATCTCTTTTTGACACTTTTAATATCTTACATCTGGTGAACGGCTGTGTCACATCTGTCAAACAAAAAAAACATTTGCAATGAGTTGAAATAATAATATTTTTCAAAATAAGGCACCGCATTGTTTTTGTTTTTAACTCAAATTCAGTAGAGATCTCCGTATTATTCTACCTCAGCAAGCAGCATTCATGCAACGTTATCATTTCCCCACACCTCCATTCTTTTTCCTTTTGTAATTATAAAGACTCTTGAGCTAGCTGGACCAATATAAATGAAAATGAGCTATCCATTCCGAAATTCGCAGCTTCCCATCAATTTTGCCCTCGAAATTAGAGGTATGAGGGTGTTCGTAAATTTATGGGGAATTGAAGAGAGTCTCGCTACTTGATTTCTTTTATTTCTGCTATATTTTTTGTGGTTTATTGTTTCTGTGAAGCTTTTCACCATTGAAATCAGTAAACTTCTACAATTCTCCGTGAGTTCAAATTATAAATAAACAGATTCCATCCCAATTTGATTCTAAAAAATACCTAGAATGTTTAATTCCCAAAATAGAATATGTTTATTACATCTCTCGAATTCCGTTCGCTGCGTTGTTCTCATAGTTATTATTCCAATATGTAGGCCTCACATTTACCTCATATGTAAACCAATAGGAACGACATCGCATTAAACGAAAAATAATTGAGATTTTCTCAACATTTTTGCAAAATATTTAATCTCTCGACGTTGTTCGTTTTGATTTCACTTGAATCTCAACGTCTTGGGCTCTTAGAACTTTCGAGAACACTCAACCGCTTTTTACGTTATCTTTGACATACAACCTTTAAAAACTATTTTCAACTTCTGCAATTACATATTTTACACTAAAATTCATACCTCGACAACAAGATTTTTATGAGGTTTAATGCTATCTCCAGTAATTGGAGCAGATTTAACCTCTTCCATTTGATTTTTTGGTGATATCTCAAATCTGTCATCCGTCAGTTTGTGTATTCTGATATCCTGAAAATAAAACTGATTTAATATTGTTGCAGGTAATAATGGGAGATGGGCCAACATCTCAATCGCCCGGGAAACCTCCACCAACACCAGCCGAGTTGGCCAGAATTTTTCTTCAAAATCAGACTATTCCACCGATGCCACCACCGCATTTCTGGAGAATGGTTCAAGATGGAAGAATGGGAATGTCGCAAGTTACGCGTCCAGCACCATCGGGACCATATGCTATACCACCTGGACGTCCTCAATTTCCATCAGGAGTGGGCCCCGCGTTCCACCCCACAGCCCCTTTGCCACCGGCATACTATTATCAAGCCACTTCAAACTCTAATATTATAATGCCTGGACCCATGCAACCACTTTCACCGCATCCAAACAATGGACCACCACCGATGCCACCAAGACCCTCACAAACGCCATTTCCAATGCCACCACGACCGTCGCAAACGCCGCAATTTCATCGGCCACTCACCCCGGCGAGGAATCCTCCGGCTCAGCGACAAGTTACGACGCAGAGACCGCCTCCAACACCCGTTCACGCACTTCCACCAAGTCGGAATTATCCAATATCGCACTCGCAGCCGGTTCCCATCAAGAAAGTCCAGCAATCAGTTAAGTCAGCCTCACAGCGCCACGCCCATCAGCAGTCACCTAAAGAGCAGAAATCGCGCCATTCGAGCAACAAAGAAGAGGTTGCGAAGCAACCATCAAGCAGGAATCTGGATACGTCAGCCATTAGACCGAGAAAAGCATCAACTCCATTTGCGATATCCTCCATGCCTCTTAATGAAACGACGACGGACGACAACCAACGAATTTCGCGAATGGAATCGCCGCCAAGAGAAGTGAAGCCAGTTAAAGTCCCAAGAATTAGCGATCCAGTGAATATCAAAAGACACAACGATTTATTGCGAGAGCTCGAGTTGGGAAGACGTTAGTTTTTTTGAGCATTTTTTTAGCATGTTTTTTCAATTTATTCAGATAGTTTTTACATTCTAAAATTCTCACGAAACGAAAAAGAACATTTTTTGTTTCGTTTTTGAGGTTTTACGTAACAATCGATGGACTTTGTACATACAAATTTTCATTTTCTTTCTATACATGTTTTCTATGTTTTTCATATGGTTACGTAAATGGAATGTTTCGTATTTGTGAAAGGAAAGTTAAAATGAAACTGAAAATAATTAATTTCCTTTTTTTAACATACAGCCAATTTCCTTTAATTTCCTTTACGAATACTATTAGGAATAATATTGTGAGCATAGGAAAACAAAAGAAATCGCTTAATACACATAACACGACAGTAACAGTTAATACTTCACGGATGATGCATCAAATTGTTTTTTTTTTACAAAAATTGACTTTGCAATTTAAAAACATATGCAAAACCATTTTTTCTATCTTTTAAGAACTTTAATTTTTCGAACTTACTTTTACAGCCAATATTTTACATAATTGGTTTGAAACTGATATAAAATAATTTACGCAAAATTCATAACCCAATCGCTGATTTTCAATTATGATATCGCAAATTTAAATTTTTTCCAAATTTAATTAATGATCACTTCATTTAATGCACGACGATTTCATTTTTTTCTCATATTTTCACCAAAAACGCACACTTACCGGCTTTTGAACATTTCTTGAAGGTCCATTTACTGATTGTGATGCGTTCATTGTTGTGCTTCTCATTGCATTCAAGCAATCCCATTGCGGCAGCAAGTGAGTTGTCCCGATTGCTGGCAGCAAAGATGCTAATGCGCAATCGGTGTTTCTGAACTTTGAAATCTCACAAAATCTCAGTGGATTTTATTTGCAATTAATATATTAAAAGTCATTATGTTTAAATTTGTTCATTCAAACGATGTTTCAAAAATGTTCGCATTCGATTCTGCTCATTGTAAACTTCAAAATGATTTCAACCTTATCTGATCAATCAATCTCAATCCACAATAGGAACATTGAATGATAGTTAGGAGCTAGCTTGCTTGTCTAACAAGGTTTGTATTAAACTCTCATTTAACAATCTTATTGAATGACGATCCCCCAAGTCATTTTCATGTGGAATAGGAGAGCTAAGAACAGCTAAAATAAACCATCAAGATGCAATGTCAAATAAGCGACAAATAAAAATACAATAAACCGATGACTTTTTCTCATGGAAGTAGATTTCATTAAATCTTGTTTAATTTTTAACATCTTAGAAGAAAAGACCCCATAATATCATTATTATGTTCCACATCATTAGAAAATCCATTTTTAAAGACTTGCTAACTCGCATATTGTTTGGAGTGATTGTGCATAAAAAAATGTCTCAATTAAATGTTATTATAATTACCGGCGCCATTGTGGAAATTATGTTTGATCTTTCGCTAATACACATATTCAAAAGAGCAAACACTTACCCCAGCACAATTTCTCGTTTCCGTAGTTTTTCTGCTTCTGCAATTATAGGGAAATGGTGAAAAAAATCAAGATTAATACCTGTAGAATTTGCTTCAATCATTAAAGGAGATTGAATACTAAAAATGTCGCAAATATTTCTGTAATAGTCGTACTGGACAGTTTGACATTGCGTGTCAAAGTGGAGGCATAGGTTTTCACATTCTTCAATACTTATCGATGACCTCAAAATACTCAAAATTAATTTTTATTACACATGTAAACTGTTTTACCTGATTTCCATAGGTTTACCGCACGATATTTTAATATTCCGGTGACTTATAAAGCATTTCCGAATATCTAAAATGGGGAATTTTCAAGCAAATAAGTAAAACTCAGTTCACCTGAGGAATTAGAATATGAAAACAATAAAAATAATAACAGTGAGAAGTACATTAGCTAGAATTTTGAATTGAGTTGATCTGCATATGAACCACAGAATCGGAAACGGTAGGTCAGCAAAGAGGATTACAGGTGGATTACGGTCAACGTTAGCTCGCCGCATATCCAGTTATAATATATCCGGCTTATGTTTGAAACAAGAGTTTATTGCGAACGGATATAACTATATGAATGTCGCATTGACGTTTACGATATGAAATTGATCTAGTTTCAAAAGCCGTAGAGCCTAAATCGGATAGCAAACATTAAAAAATTGAACTTGTTTAACTTGTTCTAACACATCGATGTTCGATCGAATTCCTTGAAGTTTGCATTGACAAGCATGTCACACACGCTTAATTGGAAATTGTTTCTAGGATCCGCACTATCGCGGCACTGGTTCACTTTGAATATTGCAGAAAGAGAAAAAACTCTCGAGGCTTCTTTTTTACACACATGGATGGAATGCCATAATTAGCTTAGCTTATTTACGCAAGAGTTTTCCTTATAATTGCTCAATAGAAAATCGAACTTGAGAACTTTGTATTGCATTTCTTATACATTCCCCTTTTCCAAAAAAATCAATTAGATCAAAAATGTAGAGTTTCAATCATAACATTGGTTCCAACGAAACGCATTTTAATCATAACTTTGTCGTTCAGCTCAGTCTGTCGAAACAAGTTCTTGGCAATAACTTTTAATTTATTTTTCTATATAAGATACATAAATGTATTGAAATTTTGGGAATATTTCTTATATATACATAAATATTGCAGTTCCTCAAAACATTCCACAAATTGAATTACGGAAAACAAATTATCCCGATTATTCATATCCGTTTTTGAGGAAATCTGCAGTTTCCCGAATGTTCAAATCTAATAATATTTCGCGTTTCCTTATTTACTGTCGACTTGGTTTTGAGAAGAATAATTTATGAAGTCGCGTTCATATCAATTTGCGTGATTGAATTCACTTCATAACGCATTTTATTATTCAGGCTTCTATGAGCAAGCTATGCCACAGCCGATTTCAAACCCAAATCGCTCAGCATTTTTGCCCGTCAACTCAAATTCCCGTCGTCGTCGAAGTAAGTCGATGGTCTCAAAAACAAAATTCATGTCATACGTCATTTTTAAAATAATTAGACATAGATATGTTGGATGTTTTCAACAAATCTGATAAGCTTCTTAGCGTGAACATACCATAAATCAAAGGATTATAGAGATTAAAGGATGAAATCTGAAATGAGTTCTCAGAAGATATCATCAGATATTTCATTTTATTAGCAACTTTTTGAATCATCGTTTGAGTAGAAATGATAAGTTTCACATGTTTTCATTGTGAAGTTTGGCTGACAATTGAAAATAGACTGTTGTTTAAAAAAATGGTTATCTATTTTTTATACACATAATTATTGCAACCACCAAATAAATTTGGTAGCGTCCTCGAGATAAAAACATTTGTTAAAATTTACTTTATTTTCTTTTAAATCTAACAAATTAACATGTTCCTTAGTGATAGAAAAACAATGAATCACAATTTTGTTGATTGAAAAATTTTCGAATATCCCAAGAAAGTACAATAAAAAAGTAAGAAACAGGAAATTAGAAAGTCAAGGTTGTCAAAGTGGTATTGACAGCCAAAGACTATTCGTTTTGTGAAATTAGACATGGCTGACATCTAAACTTATTATTTACAGGGGTAATTGTTTTAAGAACTACCCCTTGTATTATTTTCGATATAACTTTTTTTCATAAGAAGACAAATTGTTTTTGGTTCAAACATAATATCATCAGTTTCTGTTGTCTGTATGACATTTACTGCATTATTTTATTTATGCAGTAATACGCAACCAACAAAATGAGAATATTTTGGTTCAATCTAATGAGATTTAAATCTTAATGTCCGAATTCAATACGTTTGCGCCAATATTTTTTTGAGATTAAGATTTTTGCACTTTTCATCTCGAGATATAAATTTTCATTTAACAATAATATACAGGGTCGGGCATAATTACCGGTAGAAGTTCAAACGGATGTATTTCAAAAAGTAAAAGTCAGAACAAGTTGAGATTCAACTAAAAGTTTATCTGGGTAGTAACAAACATATAAATACTAAAGTTGTTCAACTCGGCCACCTTTCTGCTTGATGACGGCTCGAAGACGTTTTGGGTAGGCATCCACCACCGCACGCAAGTATTCCACTGACATCTTGTCCCATTCCTCGACCAACTTCTTTTTTAAAACCTCAACACTTGAATGGTGTGTAGCACAGTCCTTCTTCTGCAAAATTCCCCTGACATAGTAATTCAGCGGATTCAAATCCGGCGAAGAAGCTGACCATTCGTCTGAAGCGATGATACTCGAAAAATTTGCTTTGCACCACTCTTGAGTGAATATAGCTTTGTGAGCAGGGGCACCATCTTGTTGGAACACCCACGGTTGGCCTTTGAAATTATCTCGCCTCCAAGGCAATACATGATTCTTCAAAATGTCAACGTAGACTTCCTCGTTGATTTTAACGCCTTTTTAACGAATACGAGCGGACACTTTCCCGCAGAGCATATAGCGCCAAATACCATCACACTGGCGGGATGGGAAGTGGTGTGAATGGTTCTGCCGTTGTCAAAAGCATCTTGGGAGGTCTTAGCAAGAACCCTGTGATTTTGGGAGTTGAATTCTTGCTCGACTGTGAAAAGATTCTCGTCGGAGAACACGGTAACCAAATGTTCGCCGACTCGCGTGCGCTCCACAAGAAGTTTTACCTTTTGGAGTATTTTTTGCTTATTGGCGGCAGAGAGAATAGCTTCTTTTCGCACACGATACGGGGTAAGACCCAATTTATCATTGACAATCCTTGTCGTCGATCTTCGGGACATTCCCATCTCATGAGCCATCGTTGAGAGGCTCCGATGAGCGTTTTGTCTCACTCGTTCCTTCACGGCTTTCACCTAAGCTAGAGTCGTAACAGAAACTTTTCTTCCTCTCCCAAGCCTGTCATCAAGTTTTCCAGTCTCCTGATATCGGCGAATCGTCGAATAAACGGTGTTCGGAGGGAGTTTGAGGCGCTTGATGATCATGGGAATTTTGACTCCCTGATCGAATAGCGAGCAAACAGTGACTCGATGGATACTAGCCTTTACCATTTGGCAGAAAATTAGTTTTTTTGTCCGAAACTTGGAAAAACAATAGAAATCACATTAAACAACTGGAAAAAAATTGTGAGGGCACAAAAAAACGTGACATCATGAGTCACCATGGCGCAAAAAAAAATTACCGGTAATTATGCCCGACCCTGTATGCGCAAACATAAGTGTGTTTTTAGTGTCATTTCCCATTTCATGTTTCTCATCTCAGACACCCTTCGAAAACATTCATCCGGAGAACCGCTCTCTAAAAATCGATGTCTTTTTCATTTCGAAGCATGTGACGTCTGCAATAACGGAAAATATTCAGCACTCATACATTTAAATGAGCGACAAAAAAAAGTGCCCGCAGCTTTAAAGTATGTAGATTCTAAATGAGCGGGGTCGTGAATTTCATAACATTTCTCGAAGAATGCGCATTCTGGTTCATCAATGTGCTCATGTTTCTCTTGAATCTCTCTTAGCTCTATTCCGCGACGTTGAGTAGGCATTGTGAGATTTGAGGAAACCCTTCAATGGGTCGATGAAAGAACTTCTGCGGAATTTTTTGGTTTTTTTTTCCAAATTCGGAAAACTGTGGAGAAGTTCATACGAGGATTAATCCGTCAACAGGCTTGCAATGAAAAAACTTTTACACTTAAAAAATTAGATTACTGATCGTATTTCAAATATGGGACCGCAAATTTGAGATGTACATATTATCCCTTTGCACAATTCGTCTAAGCTTGTGTGAATGCATCCGCTGATCATTGAACAGT